TTAGTTATTTTGCAGACTCTTCTTGAATTTACCTGATGTTTTCATCTGATTGCTAAGAGGCACAGCATTGTGTAACCAGTGTTACTTTTTTTTGTCTTGTTTTTTGGTTTTTTGTAAGTGTCTCACTATGTAGTCTAGGCTGGCTTCGAACTGAAGGCCATCCTCCTGACTCAGCCTCCAGGAGTGCTGGGATTACAGGCATGTGCCACCATGAGCTCCACCAAAGTGGTATTCCATTTTAAAATGTTGAGACGAAAACCCTCCTTGTTGAGATTTAAATGATAAACAAGAAAGCAAGTGATTTGTTTTGACTTTTGATGCAAATACCATGGACTTGGACAACAGAGTCAGGTCCTTCTTTCCTTGTAAGAACCCCCAAAGAAGTCTTCCTTCTTAGAATCCAGAACCTGACTGAGAGGAGAAATTTGAATCTCCCAGAAATAGGGTCACCAATAAACTCCGAGTGCGCAGAAAAATTTTGAAAGAGAAAACGGACATAAAGCCCTTCAGGTTTGTCTAAAATTCTACTGTTTGTTTGTTTTTGTAGTACTAGAAATTAACCCAAGACCTTGTGTGTGCAAAGTGAGTGACATCCCAAGGCCCCCTTTATTTTTTTAATTGTATTTTGGGGCAGGGTTTCAATACATAGCCCAGGTTTTCTTCCCAAGTTGCCCACAACTTGGCTGTGATCCTCCCGCCTGAGCCTCCCAAGTAACATTTTATTTTTTTATGGGCAAAATTAAAACGTAACTTTATACATATGTAATATTAATGCCATCACTTTTAAAGTGTGAAATATTAATATTACTAATGTGCAGAAAGGTATAAAGTGTAATGCAGTGAGCTCCCAAGTACCTATGAATCAGGATGAGAAATACATCTTAGAAATAGAGCTGGAGACAGAGTCCCCTGCCGATTTCTGTTGTCTCCAACCCAGTTCCTCTCCCTCTTTCCTACCCACCACTTTGTCATTTGTCTTTTTAATATTGTTTTGGGGTTTGGTTCGTTAACTGCAGGCTCAGGTTTTTCACATGCGGGTTAATGAGTGAATTCAGCCTGCGTTTTCCCCTGCGTGCAGCGTCTTAGCTGGTTTCCCTCTGGAGTTTTGCTGGTCTTACAGAATGAGTGGACGAGTTCCTTCCATTCAGTTCACTGGAAAAGTTTTTACAACACTGAGATGAGCTCTTTCTTCAAATCCAGGAGAACTTCTTTGAGAAACAACCAAACATCTGAGCCTGGTGCTTTTTGGGGAAAGATGTTTACTGATTCAGATTTCACTGACAAATATAAAACTGGACATTTACTAAGAATTTTCCATTTCACACATCTGTGGTTTTCTCTCTTTTGTTTTTTATTTTGTTTTTGAGAGATGACTTCACTCAGGTAGCCCAGGCTGCCTCAACCTTGAGAATCTCCTGCCTCAGCCTCCTGAGTGCTGGGATTATAGGTGTGTGCTGCCATGTCCAGCTAGCCCAGGCTGGCCTTAAACTTGTGCCAATCCTCCTACCTCAGTCTCTCAAGTGCTGGGATTACAGGCATGCTCCACTGCACCCAGCTTTAGTTGGCACATTCACACTTACAATTGTTAAGTCCTTCCTGTCTTATGTCATGATCTTCTCCACACCTGGTGATGTCTTATTAGAGTTTATTTTATCCCTGTTATTAAAACGGGTACTCCAGATTGCTTTTATATTTGTGTTTAGTGATATAGTGTTTAGGGATATAGTGTTTTGTGTCCTATTTTTTTCAGTCTTGCTTTGAGTGTGTTTTAGATGTCTGTCTGTCCCCTCCCTCTTTTTATTTTCCTTTTCTCTTCTTTTCCTTCCTATTTCTTTCATTCTTTTGTTCTTTCATTCATCCTTGTACTGAGGATTGAACCCAGGGAATGTTGAGCTACACACCCAGACCTTATTATGCTTTTATTTTGAGACAGGGTCTCACTAAGTGGCCTAGGCTGGCCCTGAACTTGCCAGCCTCCCTCCTCAGCCCCTGGGTATCTGGGATTTCAGGTGTGTGTGCTGCATGGCATTTGTTTATTCATTTTTGTTTTTTTGAGACAGGGGCTCAGTATGTAGGTAAGACTGGTCTTGAACTCACTGTGAGCCCCAGGCTGGCCTCAAACTCCTGGTGATCCTCTTGCCTCAGCCTCCTGAGTGCCGGGATTGCAGGTCTGCACAATCACACCTGGCTTATGCACGTCCTTTAAGGGGAAAAGAACTTTTTTTTCTCAAATCTGACACTCTGTCTTATAACTGACATGTTTAAGCCCACTTATAGTTTATTATATTACTGACATATTTGGGTTTATTTCTAGTATCTTTCAGTTTGCCCTATTTTTTGCTAATTTTATTATTATTATTTTCTCTTTGAGTTCTTTATAAAAAATTTTGGTGGTGATAGAGATTTCCTAGCCTCACATATGATACTGAGCTATACCCTGAGCTCTTACTTTGATTTTTTTCTGCTTTATTGGTTTGAAAGTTAAAGGTGCAGCCTCTCTTTCAGTTGTTAGTGGTTCCCTTTGCAATGCCTGATTAACTAAGCATTACCTTCTGTCTTTTTTTTTTTTTACTTTTTTTTATTACCTTCTGTCTTAACCCTCCTCTTGAGTGCTACACAGACATAGAACATTTCTGACAGTTACTCTCTTTCAGATACAGATGCTTTGTGAGTGTGTGTGTGTGTGTGTGTGTGTGTGTGTGTGTGTGATTTGGGATAGAGCCTGAGCTTTTACACTGAGCCAAATGCTTCTTTTTAAAATTGTGGGACAGAGCCTCACTAAGTTGCTCAGGCTGGGCTTCAACTTGGGTTCCTCCTGCCTCAGCCTCCCAGAGTGCTGGGATTACAGGTGTGTGCCACCTGCTGTTGTTTTCCTGTTTTGTCCAGTTCTTTTCCTTATCCCATAGATTGTCATTGTCTTCATTACCATACAAACCTGTTTGCTGTAAATACATCTTTGCAAAGCAAACTGACATCTATGGGGAGCCCTGTGTTTCTCTGTTTTGTGCAGGCTCAGGTTCCTGCTGGGCAGGGTAAGAGCTTGTACACATCCTGGGGAGGGTGGAATTGGAGGATTCAAGCTGGGTGTGTGTGTCTGTCTCTCTATGTCTCTGTCTCTATGCCTCCCCCTTCTTCCTTCCTTCTTTTCCTCTCTTTTTCAGAGTCTCACTATGTAGTTCAGGCTTGCTTCACACTCGTAGCAATCTTCCTGCCTCAGCCTCCCAAGAGCTGGGATTCTGGCATGTACCATCATGGGATGACAAAGTGGATGAGGAAGAAAACTCAAGACCGAGGTCCGATGACACAGGGCATGCGTGCCCTGCCACCTGCCTGGAGGTCACAACCACTCAGAGACATGAACACCTCCCTTCTTTGGGTGGGTGGGAGACCAAATCCAGGCCCCAGACGTGCTCCCCCCAGCGGCATTTCTCCTGCACTGCCTCTTTCCCTGTATCTAGCTGCTGAGGGCTCTCCACTCATTGAAAAGATTTGTGGGGGTTAGGGTGACCTTGGGTGATAGTCAAGAGGGCAGAGTTTGACCTCAGTAGAATCCACTCTACCTGGAGTCTTGGGAGCCCAGACACCTCCTCTGAAGCCAGGTAATGAAGTAATGATGGCCCTTGTGCTGGCCACACTACAGGTTTACAGTAAATCTTGATACCGGCATGCAAATATTCCTCACTTTTTTCTCCTTAATTTTTTTGGCTTTTCTTAGATTTTTTTGCTATTCTATTTGCGTTTTAGAAGCAGTTTGTCAAGCTCCTCAAAAAAAAAGAAAAAAGCAAAAAACTATCTTCAGATGTTTATTGGAACCATGAAAAATCTAGATGAGCTGGGGCTACCACTTCCCCGGCTGCAAATGGTAGACTACAAAGATTCTCCAATTCTTTGATTTTGTTACACAGCAACAGCTGCCTGAGACAGCAGGTCACTCAGTGACTCTGGTGTGAGCAACAGAAGATGAGAATGTCTAAGGGGCCAGGAGAGGCAAGCAAAGGGGTAATTCAAGCTGAGCAACACCCTCCTGAGCCTGGGTGAATCCGGGCTGCCACTGGAGGCTCCACCTGCCTCTGCCAACCCAGTTGGCCTTCAAGACACCCCAAGGGGTTGAATTTACAACAGAAAAGGCTTACAGAATTCCCCAGGAAGCCTACCTCCATTCTGACTATACTGCTGTCTTTTCTAACTTGGCTCCCCTGTCCCTCCCCCAGAATGGGGAAGGACTAAGTAATATCCCAGTGAAAAGGGCTGCAAAGGACCACACCCTCTATAGCCTCAGATGGAAAACTAGGAGTCAGGGTAGGGGCTATGGAAGCAGCCAGGACACAGGACAGGGTAGGAGGAGACCGGAAAGGAGGTCCCAGTGATCTTGTGTGCTTGTTTGTTGGCTTGCTTGTTTGCAAGGGCCAGGCTCCAGGAAATGTAGGCGCCATCAGAAATGTTGGGCTCCAAGAGTCCCTGCCCTCCACAGAGCTGCATGGAGGGAAAGTGCACAAAGGAGACACAGCCAGACTTCCAGGACAGAGGGCTCTGCTGGGGGTCAGGGTGTATGGGACTTGATCCTCCGTGGATGGATTCTTGGGCTGGAGGCTCTGCCCAGCGTGCCCCAGCCCTCAGGAGTGGGGACAACATTGAGCAACTTCCGACGAGGCTCTGGGGTCCTGGAGTGGCTGCAGCAGAGCTCAACCGGACAGGAAGAAACCTCCAAGCTTTGGAAGACACAGATTGTTGACTTGCTGTGTCTGTCCTTGGGATTCAAGTTCCTGGAGTGGCCGTCAGGGGTCATGAGCCTGTACTCATCTCAGGAGCCACCTGTCCCGCAAAGATAAGATCTTGGCATCTGGACTTGACCTGTTGAGACCGATGTGCCCCAGGCTGCAAGTCACCTAACAGGGATTGCTTGTCCCCCTCAGTAATGACCCACGACCCAGGAAAAACCATAGCTTCTCCCTCCCTGCCCAAGGGGCTTCCAGCATCCTGGTCTCCGTGATGGCAGTTTCTCCAAGAAGTCATGTCTCATTTCCATATTAACCCAAAGCCAGATGCCTAGTTGGGGACAGTGAGCTAAGGGAGAAAGAGATGGGTGGCTGAGGAATGGGAGGGAGAGGGCTCGGCATTGGGGTCGACCCTACCTTGGAGATAAAAAAGGGCAGCAGGGCGCAGGCTTCTCAGGGTGGCTGCTGGGCTTGGGCAGAGTTCTGAGAGTCTGGGAGCAACAGTGGAGAATGAGTGCTGTGAGCACAGTCCCAGGAGCCCCTGCAGCTGGGTGGGCACAGGAGACTCCAGGCAGCTGGGTGCTGAGTGGCGAGGAGGGGGCCCACCTGGAGGGAGGCAGAAGGCAAGAGCCCACCCTGTCCTTTCCTTTCCCTGCGATGCCTCACTTACCTAGTGGCCGGGGGTCTCCAGTGGTCCTGGGGCCCAAATGCACAAGGTGAACGTCACCCAGGCTGTGGTCCCTGTGTGGGCCATCTTTGCGCCTGAGCAGCGGGACAAGAGGCCAGAAGGGTGGAAGAGTGACCCTGAGTGGGGCATGGGAACCGCTTTCCCGTGGCGTGGCACCCCGCCCGAGGTCTGCGTTGACTGAGTTTCTGACCTTCTGCTCCCAGTCACTCTCTCAGGCTCCTCTCTGCCTCCTCTTGAGAAAAGGCCTTGGGATCCCAGGCTTGCATGACAACCATGGCCTTCGGGGCTGCCAGAACCTTCTCCCTCCAGCCCTGAGTTTCTCCCCAGCTCTGGCACCACCTCACCCTCCTGGAACCCTCTAGATATTGGCATTGCTCGGGTCCCTTAGAGGGCTGGGTGTCCCCCTCACCAGTGGGAACCGTGCCACCTGTGCTGCTTGCCTTGGTTACCCTGCTGCCCACAGGAGCTCCACACTATCTTTGGTGGCCCTTGCCCCATCCCCCAGGGCCTTGTCCTTTCCTTGATGTCTCATCCCAAAAGCTCCCTGTGCTTGAGACCTTACCTTGGTGACAAGATGCAGCCACTGCCCCCTGAAAAGCCCCCTCCTGTGCTGCCCACCTTGTCCACTGCCCAGTCACTACTGAGCTGTGCCAAACCCCTGTCAGTGGGCACCCAGGCCTGGCTGGTGTTCTTTGCCCTCTGCCCCTGTCTCCAGCCCAAACCTGCCTGTCCCTCAGCTGGCCCAGAGCACTCCCAGGGCCAGGCTGTTAGACATCGTCATAGGGTCCCAGCAAAGGGACCACCTGAGGTTGACCATACTTAGTACTATGTGGCCCTCCTCCCAGGTCACTGAGATTAGGGTTCAGGGCCATGGCACAAGAGCAGCCAGCACCATAGGTGATCAGTGGCACAGAGGGCAAAGGGAACTCCAAGGGGGTGACAGAAGTGATTTTGGCAGAGGAGGTGGCAGAGGGCTCAAAACCCATGAGACAGCTGGAGAGGCCTCCAGAGACAGAGGGATTTGGGACTGCACTGGGAGCTGGAGAAAAAACCGGCAGAGGCAAGGGTGAGGCAGCCACCTGGTGGGAGAGTTGGAGGCTGGAGGGGCAGGGATGGCAGGCAGGGAGTGGAGGCCATGGTTCAGGTAGAGACAGGGTGTGGGTCCCACTGCCTCCAGGGTCCTTCTGCACCTGGAGGCAAGGCTGAGGAGCCAGCCAGCTCTCTAAGCCCCAAAGAGCTCTGAGGGCTCAGCCCCCCACCCCCACCTGAGTGCTCAGAGCCTACCCACTGCTTTCAGGGTCCCTTCTACAGCCCCAGGGGCATCGCTGGAAGTGGAGCCTTGGGAGCTGGAAGCAGCACCAGGCCAGGCCCACCCCAGGGAGTAGAGGCAGCAGGAAGCTGAGGAGCACTGCCGGCAGGAAGGTGTCGCCATCTGCAGAGGACAGGGCACTGAGTTCCTGACCAGGTGCGCCACCCGGGGCCCTGCCCACCTGCCCCCTACTGGCGCACTTTCAGGCTGCACCGGGCCGCTGTCCACACTGCCACCAAAGCCCAGCTTGTCACAGAAGGGCGGAGCCCAGCCTGGAGAGCAGTGGCAGTTATGGTTGCTATTGCAAACCTGCAGAGAAGAGGGAAGAAGGGTCATGTGAAGTCAAGGACTCCAACACCCCGCCCCACTGCTCAGGCTACTCACCCCACGGTTGTGGCAGGCAGTCAGGCAGTGCTCCAGCTCCTGGAAGGAAGTGTTCTGGCAGCGTCTGTCCTGGCACACCTATGGGCAGTGTGCCCACTGGGCAGTGAGGGTGACACTTTTGCCTCTAGCACTCAAGTGACCAGCAGGGGTCAGGTGGGCAGGGCTTACCCTTCTAGATCCACACCGAGTGCCCGGCTCTACCAAGCCCAAGTCCAGCAGGTCCAGCTGGGCATCCGGGAGTACCAGGACTGCACGACAAGCCACTTGGTAGCCGTCTAAATGCACCTTGGACTCCACAGGCACCGTGTGTGGCACGGTCGGGCTGGGCTCCCCGCCCTGGCACTGCAGCGTCCCACACTGAGCGTCCCTGGAGATCAAGTGAGAGCGATCAACAACGTAAGTGTGGCCTACCCAGACCCACGCGCCGCTGTGACTCCACCACCCTGCTCCACACCTCTGAGCGCAAGGCAGGAAGCGGCCCGCGCCATCCCGGCCACAGTTCCCGGCCGCATCTCCCACGGGGTTCACCAGCTGGAAACAGGCCTCGGGGGCCGGGCGGGAGCCTGAGGATGGAAGCGCGGCACTGGGGCAGCGCAGCCGGGACCACGCGCAGAGAGCCTCAGTTCTCCAGCAGATGCCGCCCACAGGAGGAAGCGGCCGACCCGAGGAGGGGCCAGGGCGCGAGGGCGCGTGGTCTCACCAGGCCCCCAGAGCTGCTGGCACTGCTGCTCCAGCGTGGGACACGCGCCGTCCCGGCAGTAGCCTCGGCCGTCGGCGCAGGGCCAGCCGTCCAGCAGGTAGACATCCGGGGGACAGTCGGGGGAGGCGCCCGTGCAGAACTCGGGGAGGTCGCAGTCGCCCATTGCTCGGCGGCACAGCGAGCCAGCCGGCTTCAGCTGCGCAGGTGCCCCGGGTGAGACCATGCACAGTGGCAGATCTGAGCCGAGCTTGGTCAGAGCCCGGCCAACCTGCACAGAGCCAGCACTCGGCAGCGAGCAGGGGCCCAACCCGCCAGGACCAGCCGGCGCTCACCAGGCAGCGCGCGCAGCAGTCCCCGTGGGCACACTGGGCCCCCGCACGCAGCGTGCAGTTGTGGGCGAAGCAACAGGGTTCGGAACACGTCTAGAGTCAAAAAGGCAAAACTGGGAGAGGTGAGGGCGCAGCGCCCCGGACCTCCGGAGGAGGCGGGAGGAGGGCCGGGCTCGGTCCTCAGAGCCCAGGCAGCGGACCTGACCTGGCCGGAGCCGCAGTCGCACTCTTCTCCCGCTTCCACGAAGCCGTTCCCGCAGCGCGCGGGCGGCGCCGGGAGCCCGGGCTCCGGGACGTTGGAGAGGCACGCGCCGCCCCCCTTGCGGAAGAAGGCGCGCAGCTGGCGGCGGCTGCAGGCGCTGAAGACGCGCGGGAACGGCTTCCTAGGGGCGGGGAGGGCGTCGGAGCGCGGCAGAGCCCAGCCCCGCACTCGGGCGGGACTCTCGGCCTGGAGTTGGCCACTCCGCAGCCCAGGCGCGGAAAGCATAGCGCCTGGGCGACTGGAGCTCGGAGGCTCTGCGGGCAGAGCCCAGAGGGGGGAAGTGACTTACAGAGGGTCACACAGAGCCCGAGGCGGGGAGGGTGTGCCGCCAAGAGAGGACAACCCAGGGCCTGAGGAGGGATAGCCGCCTTGGAGCAACCTTGCTAGGTTTTTTACAAACTCTTCATACTCAGGAGAACCCACTTTACCTGCATTTCTTCCACTCATAAACAACCACAAGGACAAGTGGCTGTCACCATCCCCATTTTACAAAAGAGAAACCGTGAGATAACCAAAGCAGCACGCGGGAACAAGCCCGGCCCCGCGCCCCCCGCGCGCACCCCGTGGCCTCAGCCATGACGCAGCCGCCCCGCTCCGCGCAGCAGCCGTCGGGGTCGTGGCCGAGGCCCAGGCTGTGGCCGATCTCGTGGGCCATGGTGGCCGCAGCGCCGATGGGGAGCTCCGAGTGGTCCTGGGAGGGTGTGTGGGTGTCATCGCGGGCGCGCGAGCGAGCTTTGCCCAGCCCCCGTGCCCGGGTGCCCGGCTCACCGTGCTCACGCCTCCCGAGCTCTCTGCGCTGCACATGCCTTGGATGGGTGCCAGGCCCACGGTGGCGCCCCGGAAGGCACTGCCCCTGAGAGCAGAGCACGGCGTGACGGGGCTGGGGGGGTCCCGGCGCCCTGCCTGCCACCCGCGTGGGGATCAGAGGTACTCACGTGAGCAGCTGCGCGGAGTCGTGCGGCTGCCGCGCCCATAGCCCCCGGCGCCACTTCAGGAAGTCCCAGAGCGTGGCATTCGCGTCGGCCGTGACACGGCTGCGGTCCTGCTCCGTCCACACTTCCAGGCCCGTCAGCACTACCTGAATGCCCAGGGTCCTGAGGATCTGAAGAGAGGAGGCTTGAGGCCCCTTGGAGGCAGGCCCCCTCTCCCCGTGCCCTGCCACACCACTTCTCCTGCCATCCCAACCTGGTCTACATAATTGGCAATCTCCAGGAGACGCTGTTTGGTGTGGTTCAAGTTCCGGTGCTGGATCACGTACTGGGAAGGCAGAAATCCCCGCAGTGAGGGGCTATGCTGCCCCCCCATCCTGATCCCAGCCCCAGGGGCTGCCCTCACCAGGGAGTGGTCAGCTACTATGTACAGCTCCAGGTACCTCAGGCTCCTGGGGGCTTCTCTCCTCTCCTGTGGGGGCCAAATGGTGACTTTGAGTGGCAGGCTACTGGCCTTCCGTCCTGACCACCAACCTCAACTCCCAGAAAGAACAGTCTTAAAACTTGGCCTGGGACATGCGTTTCTGTTGCTTCTGATTTGGGAGACCACATAGGCACACCGTGTTTGTTCCCTCTCCCACCAGGGTCTGTGCCCCTGACCCTGCTGTGGGGGGCAGGAGGAAGCCTAGCCACGCTCCCTTTGTCCCCAGGCTCCCTGTAGCTGCAGGTCCCTTTCCAGGTGAGTAGCCGCTCCATCCGGAAAATCCTGTGGGTTGAGGGGTCCTCTGGGTCCCCAGGTGGCCAGGGGTGCAGGTAATAGCTGGCATTGCTATTGAGCCCAATCAGGCCCCTAGGTACAGAGGGGTGAGAACAGGGTGTCAGGGAGCGCTTGCCTCAGTCCGGGCCCAGGCCCCAGCCCCAGAACTGCTCACCTCATCCCAGAGCAGGTGCTGAGCACGACCCAGGAGTTGGGGAAGCCCCTCACTCGCCCATGGTGGTGGCAGTGGTCCTGGGGAGGAACGACCCCAGCCCCAAACCTCAGCCAGGGCTGAAGCAGAGGGATGGCCGGCAGGAAGGGGGGGGCAAGGCTGGCTCCACCCTCCCCTAGGAAGGGAGTTGGGGAGTGGTGTAGGGAGAGTGAAAGGCTATCTCATGCACCATCCCCTGCACCCTCACCCTCCTCGAGCCCACAGACATGTCTCACCATGTGGGTGGGGATCAGCACCACTGGCTGCCCATCCTGGCTATAGTGGGTTTCTGTGTACCCTGGGGCCAGCAGCCTAGGGAAGAGGATGTTTAGGAATCACTCAGGTAGCCCAGCCTCCTTCTGGTCTCCCTCCCTGAATGCTAACGGAGCAGCTCTAAGAGCGAGGCACCCTCAGGAAAACCTTGAGCTACAGAGAGGAAGGTGAAGTTCGGAAAGAGCCCTCTTGATGGTTTAGATGTGGGAGGTGGGAGCAGGGGAAGCACCAGGAGGAGCAGGAATGGGGAAGGGTCTGTGTTCCCAGGGGACCTGCGCAGGCAGGTAACCCTGAAGGTCAGGAGGGGAAGGTTCAGGAAATGCTGCTGAGAAGGTGGGACCTGGAGCCAAAGAAGTATGACTGCTTCCTGCTGCCTACCCCAGGCCAGCCTCTCATCTCCTTCACATCCTCTCCTCAGGCCTCTAGACCCCACACGTCTCCCACGGCCCCTCAGTGGTGCTCTCTACCTGCTTCCAGAGAAACAGCACGCACCAGCTCCTGCCCTGGTCTGCTGCGCAGGGATCCCCATCCCCGCCCTCTGCAGACCCCATTCCTCCGGCTCCTTCCCCCTGGAAGGGTCAACTGTGAGCTAATCCCTCCTTAAAGAAAATCCTTGACTCCAGCTTCACTGTGGCCTCTTTATCTCCAGACCCCCCAAACCTGTGATGTCTGCTTTCCCATCTCCCAGTCATTCCTCCAGCTTCTCCAGCCTTGCTTCCCAGTACACGTGGGAATAGATGCATGTGCACGTTCGTGTGTGTGTGTGTGTGTGTGTGTGTGTGTGTGTGTGTCGGGGGGGGGGGACATTGAGTCCCTGGAAGCCGTGGCTAGGCATGGTGGAACTGATTTGTTCCAGGGCATCTGACTCCACAAAGGAGAATAAAATGCTGCACACAGAGCGTTCAGAACACAGCCTGCCCTGAAACTCGGTGAGTGATACCTATGGATAATGAGTCTGGATGGTTCCAAGACCCCACGCTTCATGCTGGACACCCACTCGCTCAGCCTGAGCCCTACCCGCCCGCTCATTCGTCAGCCCAGCGACTTTGTTGTACGGGCTCAAGACTGAAGGCCCTAAAATCCCTTGCGAGCTAGCCCTGCTGGGTCCCCTCAACTCCTTTCCCCACACTTGCTTTCTTGAAGATGTGGACTCTACAGACAGGATAAACACACTGGCACCCTGAAGGTGCTTTGACCCTTGTCATCACTGTCCGTTGTTCAGCCTGGAGAGCTGTGGCATCTGTGGAACGGCTGAGATTCTTTTAACTCAACACTAGGTGGCGCTCACCGGTCTCCACAGGGAGCCGCAGAGCTGCGGCAGAGCTGGAAGGATGTGCCGGTATGGGGCTAGCCCAGCTTCCACATCCATCTCAGCCCCCAGCGGGCCAACCAGGAGGCAGGGTGACTGCTGTCACCTGCATCCCTTCTGGGTCCCTTTCCCATTCAGCCTCCCGCAAGGGTCCGCATCAGCCCCTGTCCCCAGTGCTGATCTGCTCCTGAGAGAGGGTCTGTTCTTGACCCCAGCCACACCACAGCCTGGAACTCACGGGTTCTTCTCCAGCTCAAGCAGGAGCTCCTGGCCCTCGGCCTCCAAGGCCACCAGCCCTGAGTCTGGCATCAGGATCTAGGAAGAAAGAGCGCAGGTTGTGAAGGGAGCAGGAGGATGTGGAGCTGGCTCTGAGAAAGTTCACAGGGACAGCGGCCCCATGGGATCACGAAGGACATGGATAGGCATGGGGTGAGAACCTGCAATTATTTCCCCAAACTTGGGATGTTTGTTGTGACAACAGCCACGTAAAGTGCATAAACAGAGTGAGTGACGGGGCATCCCAAGTCCTTCATAGAGACAAGGCGCCCCAGGGGGGCACCCTGCTTACCCAGAGTTGCTGGGCTTTCCCTTGCCCTGCCCTTTTCTTTTGTGCCAGCAAGGGCATGACCAGGAGAGGAAGACAATGGAGTCCAAGGACATCCTGAGGGACACTGGGCAGCTGGGGCTCAGACCTCCCCACAGCCTCTGTGCTATGTGGGGACTTGTTTCTGTATCTTCTTTTTGGAGGTGCTGGGGATGGAACCCAGGGCCACACACATGCTAGGCAAGTGCTCTGCCTCTGAGTTACAGCCCCAGACCTTGTGCCTGCACCTTGCTGGTACTCAGTCCCTGCAGAATGCTGACTTTATTCCTCCACCTCTGACTCTGGCAACTGCCCCTTCCTCCAGGTTTCCATGGCTCCAGCAAACCTGCCCCACGCAGAGCTCCCAGAGTGAACTTGGACCCATCCCAGGCTCTCACTGCTCGAAATCAAAAGGCCTTCTCCTCACCCTCTTTACTTCTTCCACCCCACAGAACACCCCATCCTCCCCGCCTTGTCCACTCAGCCTGGCCAGGGGCCCAGAGTTGTAACCAGCTCAGGAGATTCCTGGGGTACTGCTGCATCTTCAGAATGTGTCCCCCACCCTGGCTGGTCCTCCTCTTTTATCCCCAAATGCACCAGGCTGGGACCCAGGCCAGGGGACTCAGAGTCAGAGAGGGGCTTCCTCTGCAGGTGGGGAGCAGACAGCCCTCATTTCCCCAGCCAGGCCCTGCGAGGCCCAAGCGTGAGCTCATGCGGCTGGAATGCCACTGGTTTATTGGGAAAGTCTGCACTAGAGAAAGCCAGTGGCCCAGATGGAAAGCCACACTCGAGGTTCCTGTCCCTCTGCAGCCCCTACAGCCTTCTCTTCTTGCCCTCCTAGTAGACTTGCCCCTGCCCACGTGCCCGTCCCCCTCCTGAAATGTGAGTGTCCTGCCTTGGAGGATGCCCTGCAGGCTCGGTCTCCCTCTCTCGCCTGGCCTCCCACTCCTGACAGGCTTCCTGGGGACAGGGCCAGAGCTGGGGAAGCAGGGCTCTCTGGGATTCTCCTCCATCACAGCCCAGGCCAGACAGGGAGCTCACAGTTCAGGTGACCCTGCATGTGCCAGCCTGCCCCTCTTCCAGGGATGTCCAGAACCGAATCAAAGCACAGACCAGTTGAGTGGGGACCCTAGAGGTCTGGTGATCCCCTGTGAAGCCCTAAGTTGGGGCCCCCAGTCTTCATGGAAGCAATCTCCTGTCTTTGTCCTTGCTGGGCTTGGACAGTGGGGCTGTGCTGTGTTCCCTGGAAACACAGAACTGAGTGCTTTCAGACCTCAGCAGGTCTCAGGTTTCTGGGCCCAAAGAGCTGTGTGGCTGTGAGCAATTTTCCAAAGTTTCTGGGCTTCAGTTTGCCCCTCTGTGAAATGGGCTTGCAGTACAGATGCTGTGGCCTGAACAGAGGAGTGCAGTTACTCTGGAAGAGTATGATGAGGAGGAATTTGCGGGGAGGCAGGGCAGATGTTCTGGAGAAGACAATAGAGTGGGCTTGCATCGGGGCACAGGAGAGTGACCACTGCCCCTGGCCACAGGTGGACTCCACAGGGGGCAATGAGGCTGACCTTTCGGAACCCTCAGTGGAAGGGCCTGAGAGGGACAATAATGTGCCCACAGGGTCACCTGCTCTGGTAAACTCAGCCTAAGGAAGCTATTTTGGTGCCTTTTAAAAGAGGCTCTTCAAGAGCTTCAGGCCCCCCAGTCTCTGGACCCATCTCTGCCTGGTGGGGGCGGGGTAGTCTGAAGAATGGGGGCAGGGAAGAGGGTGGAGACCATGCCGGGAATGACTTCCATGTGTGTAGGCCGGCGCCAGCTAGATGCGTCCTGCTGTGCCCTGCCTGCCCACCCAGGGGGACACGCAGGAAAGCTGCCGCTCCCACTCAGGGAAGGGCAGAGGGGCTGGGAGACCCAGACCCTGCAGAGGAGGGGGTAACATGGCACTGACCAGCTCTTCCAGGGTGACCGTGCTCCAGGGTCGTCCATCCAGGACCCAGTATGGGGTGACTGGCTCTCCAGAGGTGTTCCCTGCAGTGAGGACAGCACGGAGTAAGAGGGGCCTGAGGGGAAGGAGGAGTGGGAGCAGCAGGGGACGGGGACAGAGACACGGAGGCCCTGAGGGGCAGGCGCCACGCCAGCACTCCGAGTTCAGCCTGGGGACCGGCAGGCGCTCAGGGCACAGCCCTGTACCTGAGAAGTCACCAGTGAGGGACAGAGGGAGACAGGAGCCTGGGAAGGAAGGGCTCAGCTGGGGATCTGGGAGCTGCCTGACCTTGGGGGGCATGCTTGGGGTTAAAGATCACAAGAGAGAGGCCCAGGCGCCCAGTCAGAGGGGAGGCGGGGAGGAGGCAGCCATGGGTATTTTTAGGCAGGGCAGCAGATGCTTTTAGAGTGAGAAATCTGCCGGGAGGCAGCCAGATGTTGTCTTGGGAGTCCACTTTGTGCAGGGCTCCCCTTGGGGCTTGGTGCTGATGATAGGGGTCCTGGGGACCCTAACTCAGAAGCCCCTGCTTTTATGTTCAGAGAGAGGGGGGTCAGGGGCACAGTCTTGGTCCTGATCCTGCCAGCCAGGGTGTGTCCGGAGGAGGAATCCCAGAGCCAAGCATTGCTCAGAGGGGCCTAGAGTGCTATCAGGGTGCTCCTGCCCTCCCCCACCCAGTCTCACAACCCCCCAGCAGGAGCCTGCAACCAGCCCTCCCACCCCTCTGACAGTTCCTGGAGCAGGCCTGGCTCCCAGAGAAGACAGCTGCCCACCCACTGCCAACCCTGAGCCCAGACCTGCCCACGAGGGTGGCCGCCTGGGGAGCAGGCCCAGCCCTCCTGGGTACTCCAGCTCCTTCCTCCTGCACCTCCTCTCCCAGACCCCAGGCATGGAAAATCTGGGGCAACACAGCTTCGGGAGTCCCCTGCCCCACAGGAGCCCTGCTGAATTGATGACTGAGGGGCCATCAGGCAGGTGGGGGAGGGGAGGGTGTGGGTGAATGGAAAGAGATCGCTGAACCCAGAGGGGGTTTGGCCGGGTGTGGAGAACCAGGCTTTCCTAGCCCAGGCCTCGGAAGATACAGGGTGCATACGCTTGCTGCCCACTGGCACCGTGGCAAAGGGGCCAAGATGCAGCTGGGTTCTCAGCCCGAGGAGGGGAGTGGGAATGGAGTCTGAGCTGGGGCGCAGAGAGCCCCTCGCTCCCAGAGGTCCTATCCCACCTACTGGCTCCAGGCTAGACCTCTGAGGGTACAGAGTTGTGGGACGGCTAGGGATGGTCCCCAAAGGCGTGACATGTGTCACCCTTCCCCTTCCGGGCCAGAACAGATCAGGCGCCCATATTTGTGGGTCCCCAACACAGAGCTGTGGGCCTTGAACCCCCCAGGCTGCCTGCTCAGCCTAGGTCTCCACGGCTACCCCTTGGGTGCCCTGTCGGCCCTCCTGCCGGGTGCTTCCGGCATCCCTCCCATCAAATGGCCCCACCTTGCAGGGAGTTGAGGGCGGCTCCCCTGGAAGGAGCTGCAGGCTTCCCAGGCACTGCCAAGCAGACCCCGTCTGTTTGGAGAAGTCCTTGGCTGTCTAACCAAACAAGGCAACTCTAAACAGTACACACTGCGGCCGGGCCAGGGATGGTAGGGAGCCAGGGGACAGTGGGTGCGGGGTGCTGCACAGGACTCCAGGAGCTCAGTAGGCCTGGGAGCCTCCTGGTGGGAGACCTGCTGACCCTAGGCCCAGAGATGCAGCAGTGTCCACCCTGGGGGTGCGACATTGGAGACTCCAGGCAGTGGGCCCTGAGGCTGGGCAGCTGCTGGGTGGCTGCCTTGCCCCTCTGCTTTGCCCCTGGTGGGCAAAAAAATGTGGGCCAGACGGCCTGAAGCCAGCCCAAGCGTGAGCATCCCTGGGCAGGTCTCCTGGGCACCCACCCAAGTCCTCCAGTGCCCTGTCCTCCTGCCCAGCCGGTGCCTGGGTTTCAGCCCCTGCATCCTCGGACTAGGGCCAGGGCTCACCCAGCCCCACCCCGCCACCCACCTGCCCCTGGGGCCCACCCTCATCCTCATCCTCACCTGGAAGCACCGAAGCACCAGGCACCGGCCCCCGAGACAGCAGCAGTAGCGACAGCAGCCACCGCAGCCCCGGCGACCCCCGGGCTCTCAGGGACCCCCGGACCATGGCTGGGAGCGCCTGGGCCTCCAGCCCCGGCCAGGCCGGCCGCCGGCTCCGCCCCGGCTGGATGGAGGCGGCTCCACGCCCGCGCAGGCCGCCGGTCCGGACTTGGCCCGGGAACTCCACCGACCGCGCGCGGGAGCGGGGATGGGGAACCCGGGCTGGAGTGGGCGGGGCGGCACCCGGCCCTCATGGGGCAGAGGGTGGGGCGGAGCGGGGACCTCGGGGAAGGTTCTTGGAGGACCACAGGGGAAGGGGTACCGAGACCAGGGAAGGGAGCGCCCCCTACGCGGGCTCCTGGAACCGAGTTCTGTCCCAGGTCCTGCTCAGAGGGAGAACCCGAACCTGGCAAGCGCTCGCAGGGTGCCCCAGGGGAGGAGGCCGTCAGGTGCAGCTGTCTCCAGCTGCTGTGGTCCCATCTCGTCTGCCATCTGCCGTGAGCGGGTGCGTGAGGAGAGCGCAGAGGCTGGCAGGTCCAGAAAGGGACGATGAGACGGGCAGGCGCGGGAGGTAGCGGCGCAGCCCTGCGCCCCTGGCCTGGCAAGAGGTCAGAACTGTATAGAGCCGTGCAGTCCGGCGTGGGGGAGACTTTCCGTCTCAGGAACATCTGTTTCTCGTTATAAAGCCTTGTTTGTTTGAGTACTAGGTACAAAATATTCTGATAGGGAGGGATGTTCATTTTCAAGCGAATCTGTTTGTTCCTGAGAATTTGGAATAAGTAATTCTGTTAGTAAAAATTTCAGCAAGGAGAGAAACCACTTATATGATTCAAACATCAGAAAACCTGATAGAAAGTGTGGCACTGTGGACCCTGGCCAGTAGTCCCGGAGGCTGAGGCAGGAAGATCTCTCCAGCCCAAGAATTCTGAGTCAGCGTGGGCCCCAAACCATTCTGAATTTTTTGTTTTTTACAAATGATAAAATGCTTAGGGAAAAGTCCTCCAATCGCTTCCGCCCTTTCAACCATCATCCCCCGCCAGGAAGTTGTTTAGTTTTTTGCATAGGCTTTTAAATTTTTATATATACCCAAGACAGCAGGACTTTTTCTCTTTTATTAACATTTTTCTGAGCTTTGACTTTTTTTGTTTAGTTAACTGACATTGGATATCAGTGCATTTAGAAGGTCCTCATTGCCGTTGTTTTTATAATGATAAATTATTAGTTTAGGTTTTTTAATCAACTTCCAAAAATATCAGTTTTATTAAGCTATCATGTCCATACAATAAGTTGCATGTAAGTGAAGTGAGTTCGATAATTGTATACACCAGTGTAACCATCACTGCAAGTGTGACTTACTTCCAACACTCCCCGCAAGCTGCCTGTGCCCTCTCCCGAGAGTCCCCCGCTCCCAACCTCAGGGACCACTCAGCTCTGTGTGGTCCATAGGCTGATTTTGCTATGTATATTTGCATATACATGTATATTTGTGCATATACATGGAATCATACAGCACACATGCTTCTGTGTCTGGCTTTCTTCCCCCTTTATCACGTATTTGAGATTCACATACACTGTTCTGCGTATCAATACAGTCATGCCTTGCTTAATGGTGAGGTATATTCTGAGAAATGCTTAAGAGATTTCATTGGCCAGGCATGATGGTGAACACTTGTAATCCCAGCTACTCAGGAGGCTGAGGCAGAAAAAGTCCAAGTTCGAGGTAGCCTGGGCAGCTTAGAACCTGCTTCAAATTTTAAAGCAAAACAAAACGAGGAATGCTATATAGTTCAGTGGTTCAGTGCTTGCCTAGTGTGCACGAGGCCCTTGGTGGCCTTAGTACCCAATGCCAAGAGAGAGACAGAGACAGAGACACACACAGAGACAGAGGCAGAGATAGAAACTGAACAAAACAGAGCACACGCTTACCGAACCTAGCTGGTGCAGCCTATTCCACAGCTAGGCTACATCCCTGTCCAGCGTGTTTCTGTAGGGAACGCTGCGGGCAATCGAAACACGATGGAAAGTATTTGTTTCTAAACATATCTAAATGTAGAATAGGTACAGGAAAATACTAGCTGCATTTTCAGCTGCATTGGAATCTTACGGGACCACCGCCCATCGCTGACAGAAATACTGTGCGGTGCGTGACGGCAGCCTCAGCATAGCAGCCACTTTCCCGTCCCTGGGATTACAACACCTGACACTCACGACCTAGAGGAGGAGAGGTTTATTTTGGCTTATGGTTTCAGTCCATAGTCGGCTGGCTCCAAGGCAGAGAGGGCCTAGTGAAAGGGCCTAGTAAAAGGGGCTGGCAAAGCAAAGCTGTGCAAGGTGGCATCCAAGAGGCAAAGAGATGTCTCTGCATTCAGGGGCCCTTCCTGACCCAAAGCCAGGCTGCTGTCCCTGCACGATACTCCTCGCCTTGGTGTGTTTTACAGAGGCTCACAGTTGCTCACCTCCTTTCTCTTTCCCCAGATCCAGAGCCCCATGGTGCCTGGAAACTTGTGTCTTCTTTACAACCTGGCAGAGGGCACAGCACAGTCATCCTGGCAAAGCTGATGCCTCCCAAACCAGAGGCTCCCAGCCTCTGGCTCTGTTCCCTGAGCGTTGTGTTAGAAACATCACCTGCACCATTGTCTGAAGTCATAGCTTATGCTCACTGTCATGTAATATTCCACTGTGGGAACATAGCACAGTTTATATTGCCTTTCCATTGCTACCGTGCATTCGTTGTCTCTATTTCTGGCTGTGATGGGTAGCGCTGCTGTGATCATTCTCATACAAGTCTCACAGTGACATAAGCCCTCATTTCTTGAGTGAATACCCAGGGGTGGAATGTCAGGGTCATGGGAGTGTTTTAGCCTCAATAGATATTCTCAAGTTGTTTCCCAACATTGTCATACATACTGTACAGTGCCATTTACATAAAGTTCAAAAACAGGAAAATGAAATCTATGGTGTTAGAAGTCAAGACAGTAGCAGCCCTTGGGGGACTGCCACTGGGAGAGGACTTCACGGGGGACTCTGGGGGTATTTTTTGTTTCTTGATCTGTACTGGCTGCACAGTTGTTTACTTTTGGAAAAGTTATTGAGCTGTACGCACTAATAACGTGTGAGCTTTTCTGTATGTTACAATTTAATTACAAGGGGCGGGGGATTTAGATCAGCAGCAAAAGGGCCTGCCTGGCAAGTGCAAGGTCGTGAGTTCGATTCCTGATACTGGAAGAAAAGACCAAAAAAAACAATTTAATTACAAGTTTATCTCAAAGTCTAGGGAGACTTCAGACCACGGAAGGACCCAGCTGAGCACCCAACTCAAGATGGACATATATCCCCTCGGAGGGACACAGATACAAATGAAGACTTCCAAGTCACATGTCCCCAAGTCCCCTTCCTTGGCCGTCTGCAATTCTCCCGTCGCTGTCTTCTCCAGACGGCCCCCAAACATCTGGCTGCATTTGGTTTGCTCTGTCTGCCCCACCCTTGGATTTAACCCGCGGTTTCCACCCTCCCACTCAGCAACAAGGTAGAAGAAGCCAGTGCTGTGCCGGTCATTGTGGGTGTCATTGTGCTGGTCACTGTGGGTGAGCAACACACAATTAGAGCCGCAGGGAGCAGGAAGGGACACCCTCGATTCAGCAGAAGGCAGTGTGTGATAATGCCCTGTGATTTACACTCCCTGGCCACCTCTTGCAGACGTTCCCCAGAACAAACCCATTAATTTTTTAGTCTTCTGTGTTCCAGCCCAGAAGTTTGGGTTACAAGAAAGAAACTCACTCCAGTTGCATCATAGGATGGAAATTTATTGGGAAGACATGCTGGACAGGCTCCAGGAGGAGCGTGGCAATCAGGCAGAAAAAGAAATGGGGACTGGAGTGAGGGAGGGTCTGGCCTCAGCCACACAACGCTCACCTGGCCTCTGATTTCTTTCCAGCCTGTGAGCTCCTGAACTAATGCCCCACTACTCTCCATGCTTCTCAGCCCAGATCTGAGAGCTGCAGGCCCTTTGCTCCTCCCGTCATCTGCTCACAGGCCACAAGGGGAGTCACCAGCCACTCAAGGACCAGCTCCTTCCAGTCCCCGATTCCTAGGTACTTCATTCCTTGTCAGTCACCCTCATTTGCTTTAACAGCCCCAGGTACATGGAAAACCAGGACAATGACAGGAGCCCACTCGGTGGTGGAGAGGAATGCACCTGGAGCAAGACCAGGGATGCTGAGCACATCCATGTCTGTTCTTCACATTCAAAAGGCTGTTAAAGCTGGGATGGGCATGGAGAGGAAGGAAATGGGGCACCTCTTCTTCTAAGAGCCAGATCTGACCCAGCCATCAGGCATGCCCACACCCTAGGGACCACCAAATCTGGATTTCTTTAGTGTTACTGTTCAAGAGGGACCAACTATCTCTTCCAGGAAGCCTAAGACCAGGCTGGCCAGGGGCACCGAGATAGGTCATCCCCACCAATATCAAAAGTCCCAGGATTAACTCCATAGCTGAGAGCCCTTTGGAAACAAAACTTCCAAATGGACTCTGGGCTCAGAGGAAAACTCCCTCTCCAGTTTCCCTTGCAGGTTGGTGTGCCCACGTGCGCACACTCCAGCTGAAGGGGAGGGGGTAAAATTGATCTATGCAGCTTCTGGGTTGTGTGCCCAATGGGAATGGATGTGCCTTTCTTCCACTTTCATTTTTCCCTCTTCTGGATGGAGGGACTATGGACACAGTTGGGCCATCATGAACCTCACCAGCAAAGGCTGTATTTTAGGAATGGAGAAAAGTAAGACAGAAGGAGTCTGAGCCCCAACACCTTACACCACCACAGCACATCCAGACTAGAAAGGGAAAGCAAAATAAAATTCTATCATGTTGAAGCCTCTGTATTTGGTCTCACGTTGGAGCAGCCTGACTTACTTATGTGTACACTGTCTGGTACAGAGTACTCTGGCCGGGCTATGAGGACACAGATACTCTTCTATTCTAATCGTCCGAAAGTCTGGGGTGTCACTGAGGAGAAAGATGTTTGGGGCAGTGCCTCCTCTGGAGAAGAGATGGAGAGGAGAGAGGAGATCCAGAGGAAAGATAGAGGCAGAGAGACAAATAGATGACATAATCAGCTCAGTTCTCTTGAGGGTCCCCTAGAGTCCGCATCTCCTTGGTAGACAGAGGCTTCCCCCACCTCTCACCACCCACGTTTCATGGGGGCAGAGGGCTTGGAGCCAAGTCTTCAGAAGTCAGATGTCACCATGCCCTTTGCAGAGGTAGCCAGGACCTAGTGCTGCCTGCTTCATAGCGCTGCCTGGTTCGTCAGCACCTCCTCCTCCTGGGGGAAGGCAGTGCCACCTGTCAGCTCAGCTGCTGAGCTCAGAGTAAAGTTCCACACGTGCCTGTATCAGGGTCAGTAAACTTCCCACAGAGAAAGCCCTAACCATAGGCGGACTGTGGGCACAACCATGGTCCCGCGTGTGCCCCACTCCGCCCTAGGTAGGGTCCCAAGGGGATTGGTGGGAGTGTGCATAGTAGGAGCTCTGCCTCTGACCCCCGAGTCGTTCATCATCTCCACAGGGGCACACTTTGCCCCCTGCCCAGGTGATAGGCAGGCTTGGGAGGGTTGAAGAACTCAAAACAAAGGCAAAGTATTTGGAAAGTGCGCCTTGGAACTGGGGTGATGCTGTTAAGACCAGAAAGTCCCGCAGCCGGCCCTGAGCAGAACATGGCTCTCACTCACTCTAGCGGCGTCTTGGCTCCCTGCCCTTCCTCTCCAACCTCCCCTGGCCCCAGGCACCATCCCAGATGCTGGCTGGACACTGTGAGCAGGTTGGCATTAGGTCTGGGCATGCGCATGTGTGTATGGTGCCTACCTGCGTGTCCCCGTGTCCCTCGGAGTTCATCTCCAAACTCCTGCGTATGTGCAAGTGTTGAGAACGCTTCCTGCACAGTCAAGAGCAAACTTGAGGCTCCCGCTCCTCCTTTCCTCCCCCGCCCATGCTGGCCCAGGGCGCCCACTGTCCAGAGCACCTCGTCCTGCTTCCTCCCCAGCCCTTTCTTCCACATAGACAGGGTGGGGTGGAGGAAAGAAGAGAGCTACAGCGAGGTGGAGGCAATTCTGGGGGAACTCCCACATCGGGAGGAGTAGCAGTGCATGAACTTGGTGGGTGGGAGGCTCCCCTAAAGTGGGTGGGGGTGCTGGAGGAAAAAGGGCAGGAAGACCCAGACCCACCTCCACACACAGTAGGCCCCCAGGCCCAACAGGATGCACAGGGAGGCGGCCAGCAGTCCCAGTACCCAAAGGAGACTCTGGAACAAATGCAGCTGGTGCAGGGCTGCGACATGGAGGAGGAACTCAGGGGCAGCCATGGCTCCGGGCCGCAGTGCTCCCTCCAAGGGGCCCCAGTGCTCCCCTTCCACTTCCTCTCAAAGCCCCCATCTGGGGAACTCCAAGAGGCCAGTTTAGACCAGGCAGATAGGCCATGGCACAGCAGAAGGCCTGAGCAGGAGGCAGCGCAGGGACCTGGGAGAGGGAGCCCCTCCCTCACCTGAGACCCCAAAGTAGGCAGAGGCAGAGGCAGAGCCCAGGCTGTTGGAGGCAGAGCATACGTATTCCCCCTGGTCGCTGGGCCGCAGAGGCTGCATGTCCACCCGCAGGGTGTTAGGGGAGGCTGAGACATGGATGTGTGACTCCACAGGAGCACCCTGGGGCTGGCTGGAGGCCACCAGTCTGCTGCCCAGGTGGAGGCTCAGGCTGGCCAGGGGCTCGCTGTCAACCTGGCAGTCTAGGATGCCCCGGAGGCCGCCCTCAGGCTCCACAAAGACCGTCATGGTGGGCGTTTTGGGAGGGTCTGTGGGGAGGAGAAGAGTGTGGTGGTTTCGGGAAACGATCAGAAACCCCTCCCTCTCTGCCCCCCCCACCATGATTTGCTGCACCTCCTGTGGAGAGGCAGAGTCTATTTCCTCACCCCTGGTGTCTGTGGCTCACTTTGAGCAACTGAAGGCAGGAGTGATATTGTGGGACTTCAGGGCTGGACCTCAAAGGCCTTGCTGCTCACTCTGCTTCCTGAACATGACTGTGAGAAGGCCATCTTGGACCATCTAGCCTCAGTGGAGCCACTGGACAACTGCAGCCAGATGAAGTGAGACCAGCAGAACTGCCCAGCTGAGCTCAGCCCAGATTTCAGACCCACAGAATCATGAGTTGGGGGTGCCTTGTTACGCAGCAGTAGCTGACTGATGAGGCATGGGTGCTGGTGAAGACTAGACTATGAGACCATGGCTGGTGAGAGCCTATTGTGTGCCAGGCACTCTGCTTATCTCCTGTGCTCCTCCCAAGAACAGGAAGCTGACATGGCCCCCCTTTCACAGATGAGGGAACCAAGACACAGATGCACAGGACATCCCAGCAGGTGGGAGGCCTGGGACCCTGTGAAGCCCTCACTGTTTGCAGACAGAAGAGGAAAACCTGAGAGGGGCACTCAAGAAGCGGGGAGACTGAGGCAGGGGCTTCACACTCACAGAGCACTCGGAGCATGACGGGAGCAGAGACAGAGGTGCCTGAGGGCAGCTCCGCCCGGCAGTGGTACAGCCCAGCCTGGGCGCGACCCACGTGGCTGAGGGAAAGAGTGGGCACGGGATGCATGCGCAGCGGCCGGCCATTCCGGAACCACGCAAAGGTGGAGTTGCCCATGGCCCCAGGGGAATGAGGGAGGCGGCAGCTCAGGTTCAGTGCGGCGCCCTCGGGCACCTCCAGGCCCGGCTCGGCCACCACGCTCACACCTGCAGGGTAAGGACGGGCAGGTGGTCAGGGCTCTATGGTCCTGTGCAATGTGCAGAGGTCTTGACCCATCTTGGGGCCTGGGTTTCCCAGGGTGGAACAGTGTCTTTCCCCTCAGATTGAGAGTAAGAGGAGGGCTGCTTTGCATCCAGGAACAGGGCTCCCAGTCCAGGCCTGGCCTCGCTCATCAGACCAGCCGATCTGATGGATGAGGCTGCATCTTGCCCTCAGACTGGCCCGCCTGAGGGTAGGGCTCTGCTTCTGTCCCCAGACTGGGCTCCATGAAGGCAGGACTCTGTCTCACCTCCGCCAGCTCCCCTTGGGCACTGTGATACCTGCTGTCCCTCACAAGATCTCTCAGGGTGAAGCCCCCTCTCCCCCCAGGCTGGGCAACCCCTCCAGTGATTTGGCCCCTTCAGGCCCTGTGGGAGCCCCAGCCCCTCACACAGGATCTGGCTCACAGCACCCAGGCCCCCTTTCCACCCTCTCTGCCGCTTACCTTCCACCCGCAGCTGCCAGGTGGTGCTGACTGAACCCAGCACATTGCGGGCCGTGCAGACATAGGTGTCATCATCACCTGCTGGCACATCTGGCACCCGCACCCGCAGGGCGTTGCGGGCCACCTGGATGTGACCAGTCCCAGACGCTGAGCCGTGGAGCCCATGACTAGCGGCTAGCACTGTGCCATTGTGGGACAGTGCCAGCTCAGCAGGTGGCTCACTGTCCACAGTGCACTGTACCATGGCCGTGGGGCTGGTTCTGGAGTCGCGGAAGGAGGAAAGGACAGCATCTCGGGGGGGATCTAGGGGACAGGGCACAGACGGGGGCCTTGTCTAGGCTCTCTGTATTTCCTGCTGCCCCTCCCCCCCACTGCTTGATGGTGGCAGCCTGGAGCCTGTAGACAAATGGTCACTTCCTAAAGTGACATCTTCCAGGAACCCTATGGGTAGGGTCCTCCAGGCAGGGGCCCAAAGCCCCTAGTCCTTTGCTTCCCAAGTGCCCATTCCTGGGCCCACTGCACTCCCTGTGCACCCCCACTGGGGCCCAGAAGTGCCCTCCTCCACCCTCACCCCGGGCAGTGCCAGCCAAGTGTCCCTGCTCACAGAGGATTTGCAGGGAAGCCGGCCGGGAGCTACGTGTGCCCTGGACATCATGGACCTGACAGGAGTAGGCCCCTCTGTGAGCCCGTGTGACCCTCAGGAACGTAAGTGAGGCGTCTGTCCCCTCTTGCATCCAGCGGCCATTGTGGTACCAGGCATAAAGTGCGGGTGGGCGTGCAGCGGGGTCCTCACAGGTCACTGTGATGGAGGTTCCCTCAGGGACAGCAGCTGATGGAGCCAGTGTCACTCGTACACCTGAGAAGGTCAGGGTCAGCTGGGCCCAGCCAGATACTGCAGCTGATTCCCATGGCTGATTCTCGTGGCCCGGGCCTGGCCTGCCTCACCCTCCAGCCGCAGCTCCAGAGATGCGTTGGTCTGGCCCAGAGGGCTGCGGGCTGAGCAGCTGTACAGCCCCTCGTCACTGGGCCTCGGCTCTTGCAGCTCCAGGTGCAAGGTGTTGGGGACCGAGGCTGTGGATGAGGAGGCCAGGAGGCGGCCAGCATGGCTGAGGGCCAGCTGCGCGGGTGGGCGGCTGTCCACTGTGCACAGCACCAGAGCCAGCTGCCCAGCACGGCTCTCCAGGAGGTAGGTCAGGCGTAGGCTGCGGGGTGCATCTGCAGGGCCAGAAGATGTCCAAGGGGCTTGCAGGTAGCAGGAACCCAGGAGGGTCCTGGCTCCCACCCCAGCTGCCTCTCTGCCCAGAGAGAACCTATCATTTCCCCAAACCAATGCCCCTTGTCCAGTGCTCCATCAGCTGGCTGGGTGTGGAGTCCTGGCTAGCTATGTGGCCCTGGCCTTGAACCCAACCCTGCATCCAGCCAAACTCACAGAGGATATCCAGGGTGACAGGTGTGGAGAGGCGGGGCACTTGGCCAGGGGACCCCACAGCACAGCGATAGGAGGCAGCATTGGCGAGCGTGACGTTGGGCAGGGAGATGGAGCGGGCACCTGGGCGCTGCTGCCCATCCTGGTACCATGTGTAGGTGAGCTGGGCCTGGTGAGTGGCCCACACGAGGCAGGTGAGGTTCACCTGCTGCCCCTCCCGCACAGTGGCCTTGGGCCACACTTGCACACTCACGGCTGGGGAGAGAGAGACACCCATGAGGGCCTGAGGCTGTGTGAAGTGGGCCACCTGTCTGTGCAGGTGAATTGCCCTCAGGATGCCCCTCAGAAGGGGCTCATTCTCTCCTGGGTGCTCCCAAGCAGATCGCTGGAGAGCCCTGAACCCGTCCCTGTTCTGCTAAGGGCAAACAGGGAGAACAAGGCCTCTCTGTGCTCCTGTGGTTTCTCCTTAAGATGTACTTTCTGATTAGTTTATCAGCTGGGCATCCATGGAAATTTCTGTGTTTAAAAAGGACTCCTCCAGCTAGACATGATGCTGCATTCCTGTAATCTCAGCTACTGGGGAGATTAAGGCAGGAGGATCACAAGTTTAAGGCCAGGCTGGGTAAATTAGTGAGACTCTGTCTCAAAATAAATAGGATAAATATAAATATAAAATCAGGTATGGGAGCACACACCTATAATGCAGCACTTGGGAGGCTGAGGCAGGAAGATCACTATAAATTTGAGGCCAGCCTGGGTTACATAGTGAGCTCAAGGCCAGGTTGAACTACATAGTGAGACTGTCTCAAAAAATAAACAAAAATAAAATAAAATAAAATAAAATAGGACTGGGCATGTAGCTCAGTGGTAGGGTATCCCTGGGTCCAATCTCTAAAATCATAATTAAAAAAAAAGGAGAAAAAGAAAAACAAGAAAGATCCTGTCTCAAAAAAAAATAAAAAGGGCTGGGGTTATAGCTCAGTGGCTCCCAGAGCCCTCTCTCATCTCCTGTCCTCTCTTTCAGGGTGTACACGCGTGTGCACACACATACATACATAAGTATACACTGACCCTGGGCGTCAAAGGTGGCCGAAGCTGAGGCCCGGCCCAGGATGTTGGTGGCCTCACAGGTGTAGACGCCTTCATCTTCCAGCACTGCGTTGTGGAGCTCCAGGCGCAGTTCATTCGGGGTCACGGACACCTGCAGCCGGGCATCACTGCCTGCAGCTTCTCCCACCGCTTGCAGGGTGGAGGCCACCAGGCGGTCCCCGTGGAGCAGCCGCAGCTGGGCTGGAGGGTCACTGTCCACATGGCACAGGATGAGGCCCAGTCGCCTTGGGCCCACGTCCATCAGGGTGGTGAGCATGACCTGGCGTGGGGCGTCTGCATGGTGGGGAATGGTCAGGGCCTGGCCGGGGCCCCCCATCCAGGGCTCTGTCATGGTCACAGAGCCAGGACCGGGGAATATAGCCCCTCCCCACCTATGTGGGGGACACACCCTTACAGGACACATGCAGGCTGACCGGGGCAGCCAGGCTGGTAGCCGAGCCTGGGGCCTGAACTTGGCAATGGTAGGCACCGGCTTGCTTCAGAGTTATAGCTGGAATGTGCAGCGTGGCCGAGGTCCACTCCTGGTGGGGCTGGCCATCCCGAAACCAGAGGTACGAGGCTTCCTCGGGGACCCCCGTGGGCACGTGGCAGCTCAGGACCACAGCCTGGCCCTCCTGGAGCTCGGAGGATGGTGAGACTTGGACCCAGGCTCCTGCAGGGAGAAACCGAGGCAGGTGTGGCCTTGGCACCCCAACTCCAGCAGTCTAGGGCTGCACGCATGACTGTGCAGGACTTGGTGACTCCAGCCTGTGTCCCTGAAGGCTCCTCTCCAGACTGCTGCCCAGCTTCAGCAGTATGTCTGCCTCTCCTGCCCCAACCCACTTATACCAGCTCTGTCCTGCCTGGCACTCACGGCCTACCACCCGGAGTTACGGTTTCGCTCTGCCAATCACATCCCACCCACAGGAGGCTGAGTCTATGGGAAGTGGGCTTGTGTGGTGCCTGCATGTGTGAGCTCCTGACAACTGTTGGCTCGACCCTTAAAGCACTGAAATAAGAGAGGTTTAGGTCAAGCTGAGGGTCACCGGCCTGACTGTGAATAGTACGGATGGCCAACCCAGGGCTTGGGGAGTAGGTTGGCAGCTGTGCACCTTGAGTTCTTTCCAGCCCTCTGCAGCCACTCTGCACCCAGCTCCAGGCTACAAGAGCCAGGCACTGGGAAGCAGGCAAGGGTAGGTCCTTGTCAGTCCCCAGCTCTGGAGCAGGAAGAGATGAGATGAGGGTTGAGAGTGACAAAACAGTGCTGGGTGGAAACCAGGAGCACAGGCCGTGCCAGGACCCAAACCACATTAGTCCAGAGTTAGCGGGACCTGCAGGTCATGTGCCAGCGAGCGAGCTCCTGAGAAAGACAGCCCCTGATTTCTCTGCCTTTGCAATGGATATAATAAAGAAGAAGCCTGCTGTGGTGGTGCACACCTGTAATCCCAGCACTCTGGAAACTGAGGCAAAAGGATCGTTGTGAGTTCAAGACCAACCTGGGCTACAAAGTAAGCTCAAGGCCAGCCTGAACTGCATAGCAAGACCCTGTCTCAAAAAGACATACATACATAAGCACATAAATAAATAAGAAAAGATACACAGAACAAAGGTCCAAAATAAATGTCCAAAACTCGCCACTGCTAGTCATTATGGGAAAGGAAGCATGTGTATTTCTTTGATCTTCACTTTCTAGAAATTACTTTTCCTTTTCTCTTGTTTATTTGCTCAGGGAGAATTTTTGTAGAGAAGAATATGGATACAGTATGTATATGTATATGCATTTATACATATACGTGCATAATACATGTGCATATTAGGGTTTGTATGAGAATTTTTTGTATACTTATAACAAAATTATGTTATTAACAAGTAAGTTATGTTAGAAATGTGTTAACCAAACCAGCCACCTTGCCCAATTGCCACTGCCTCCTGGTGGCTGCTGCAATTTTTTTTTGTTGGGGGGGGGTGCTCCTGCATCACTACAGGCAAAAAGTGTCTACTAGGAGGCAAAGGGAGGCTGGCTGGCTTTAAAAGGAAGAAGACTACAATTTCCGTGCAAAATCCACAGCACAAATAAAACCCAACATCTGACCAAATAGCCCCCTGGTATTGGGTCTACCATCATCACAGGACACACACTTACCTCGGACGGGGAAGAAGAGTGAGGAGTTGGCCGATCCCAGAATATTTGTAGCCTCACAGTGATAGTGACCAGAGTCCCCAAGGGCCAATTCTTGGATCTCTAGCTGCAGGGAGTTAGGAGAGGCCTTGACCTGGAGCCTACCATGGGATGGGAGCTGGGGTCCAAGGCTGCTGGCTAGGAGGCGCTCCCCATGGAACAGGGACAGCTGAGCCAGGGGATGACTGTCCACAGTGCAGATGAACATGGCCATATGGCCCTGGCCCATGTCCAGGAGGGCTGACAGCTTTGGAGGGTCCGGGGGATCTGCAGGAACAGGGGATGTCATGCTCCTGCCACCCAGCCCACCACATTCCAGTTGCCGCACTACATCCCCTCCTCCTACACACACAGCACAGGCCCAGCCAGGTTCTGCCCTCCCTATACTCCAGCCCCACCCTGTGTGCCTCAGCCCCCAGCCCCCTGCTGCCCTGCCTGGCACCCACAGAGCACACTCAGGAACACAGGCGCCGAGGGCTGGGTGCTGGTTTCGGTGATGAGCCGACAGGCATACAGGGCCGCGTCAGTCCTGGCCACAGATGGCAGCCTCAACGTCTCCTGGGGGCCCTGAGTCCACAGCTCCCCATTCCGGAACCAGGAGAAGTTGGCAGGGCTGCCGGGGGCTTCCCGGCTCACGCTGCAAGTCAGGTTGGCCTCTGCACCCTCCTCCGGTGAATTGGACGGGGTGATGACCAGGACAGTGGCTGGAGAGCAGGGGACACAGGTTTGCTGGAGACAGCCCTTGCTCTGACCACACCCACCCCACCCAGGGACCAGAAGGAAGGCCCGGGGGCTACAGATGCGAGCCATCCCCCTTCCACTCATCCCTGCCCCTTTCCGGCCCCTGCCCCCTCCACTCGCCCCTGCCCTTCACCCTGCGCATTGAAGATGGCTGAGGCGGAGGCATTGCCCAGGTTATTGCTGGCCTCGCACAGGTACACGCCCTCATCCTCCAGCACCGGGTTGTGAATCTCCACCCGCAGCAGGTTGGGCTCGTTGGTGACCTTTGTGCGTGGGGCACAGCACCCACAGGTGCCACAGCCTCCCACCGATGATGTGGCCACAACACGGTCCCCGTGGAGCAGCCGTAGATGGGCAGGCGGGTCGCTGGCCACACGGCACAGTAGGAGGCCACGCCTTCCAGCCTCAGCTCCAGCAGCATCCAGTTCCAGGCGTGCAGTGAGTGTGGGCTGGTTGGGGGGGTCTGAGGGGAGGAAGAGCAGGGCACTCACCCCCACGCCACTGCCAGGGCCCCAGGTCCACTCCAGGCTGGGCTGCCAGAGTACACTGGACAAAGACATGGCCCCAGAGCAACCTAAGACAGCTGTGCAAGCTGTGCACTGCCAAAGGGAAACCAGACCAGGGCCTTGATGCTGGATGACCCTTCCTGGAAGAAGTGGAGCAGGTTTCTAGCTGGGACGTACATGCTACGTGGCCATAAGTCTCAGCTGCTCCTGAGGCAGGACCTGTGCATGTGTGTCAGGGAGGCCTTCTGGAATTTAAATGTGCCCTGAATAGGACTCAGCCCCTGGCTACTGCAAGGTATCTGCCTGTGGCAGGATGGAGAGGGCCTGGTCTGTCCTGTGCCAAAGGTTTCTGCCTTAGTATCTACAGGATCCCTGGGGGCCCAGCCGCAGGGCATGTACACATCTATAGGAGTTTGTTGTCCCAGGGCCCACCCAGAGAACAAATCTTGGATATGGGGTCAGGATGGCTTTGAGGAGAGAGGCAGGCCAGGACACCAAGGAGATAGTTTGGAGACCAGGACACAGGGAGGTAGAAGAGCTCCCAGCCTCATGATCCCGACTTCAGCCCTGGGTGGAGAGGTCACAGTGGCCAGCCTCTGACCACCCTCCTGCTGTGGGCCCCAGGGAAGGATGGGGTCAAGTGGGCTGGAGGAGGTGGGGCAGCTGCTGGTCCCCTGGGTGGCCCTCCCCAAGCAGGCGTGGCCGGGCAAGGCTGCTCACAGTGCACAGTGAGGACGGCGGGCGCGGACGGGCCGCTGACTCCGTGGCTGTCCTGGGCGCGACAGTGGTAAGAGCCGGCACTGGTGCTGGAGGCCGCAGGGAGCAGGAAGTTGCTGCTGGGCCCCTCGAGGAGCAGGGCCCCATTCAGGTACCAGGAGAAGCGGGTGTCGGGCCCTGGGCTCAGGCCGCTCCTGCAGCTCAGAGTCACCGCCTGCCCTTCCACCACCTCCGCCGAGGGGCTGATGAGGAGCCGGGCAGCTACAAGAGGCGAGAGGAGGCTGGGGGGGGCTGCAAGGGCCCCACTCCGCCCACCACCTGCAGCAGGAGCTTTCACCTCCCCCTCGCCATGACTGTAGCCAGGTCTGGGCTAGTGAGTGGTGGATCAGGACGGTTCGGCCTCGAATGCCAATTTGGACCTATTGGTAGTAGCTGTCTGCCGCACAGCTGGGGACTCTGAGCCACAGCCCAGCTTGTGCCAAAGTCCTGGTTTGACTGATTTGCTATGAGGCTGTGTCTACCCTGGCCTCAGAAGGAGGGAGGGCAGCATACACACCAACAGCTGCAACACCCCACTTCTCTATTCTGCCTCTTTCATCTAACTCCTAGTGCAGACCCTGGACTCCTAGAAGGCAGAGGCCACAGCAAGCCTCCCATGTGGGGCTCCTGACACGCATGCACACACACGTGCACACAAACACACACACACACTCCCACACCGTCTGTGCCCTTCTTACCATTGGCATGGAAGTCCAGGGTGGAGGTTGCGTTTCCCAGGGAGTTGGCAGCTGTGCACCGGTATTCCCCACTGTCAGCTGCTTGCAGCTCTCGAATCTCTAGGCGCAGGGAGTTGGGAGCCGAGGAGACGGTGAAGCGGGGGTCGTAATCACCCTCCCCTGAGCTGGAGGCCACGATAAGGTCCCCGTGAGACAGCACCAGTGTGGCCAGGGGCTCACTGACCACAGAGCACTGGAGGATGCCCACGAGCTTGGCCTGTGTCTCTAGGAAGGCACTCAGGTCCGGGACAAGCGGTGGGTCTGTGTGGAGACCAGAGGTGGGCCTGTCACCCTTGATGGAACTTCCGGGGTCCCCCATCAGAACTTATGATCCTGGACACTTTTGCCCCAGAATATCCTGGACGGTGACTGTCCAGGAGCTCCTGGGCTGGACAAGTCCCTCTACTGTCCCATCAGTCCTTACAGCTGCCAGGGGGAGGGTCAGGGCCCCACTTTAAAGATGAGAAAACCAGTAGAGACCAGGCAGTGGACAGCACCTTAACCGAGCAATCCAAGGGGACATTACCAGCATGGGACAAACCGACACTGTGGGCCTCTCCACAGGACGACAGGACTCACTGAGGATGACAAAGGGCAGAGTCTCAGACAAATGCTGAGGCCAGCCTTGTGCTCTTCAAGTTCAATGTCATGCAAGATAAGGGAAGACTGAGGAGCTGTCCCAGAAGGACAGGACACGGCACAAAGAAAAACAAAGACCCAGTCCCAAATGTGTGAACCTGGATTGGCTACTGGAGCAGAGGAAAAAATGCTGTAGAAGACATTACTGGGTCAATTGTTAAAATTTGGACAAGTTCTGTAGCTTAGTCTTGGATCAGTGTAACATTTCCTAATCATGGCTCTTGCACCGGAATTGTGTACAGGAATGGTCTTGAGAAATACACACAGGAAAGTCAGGGGCAAAGAGGCATCGTGTCTGCAGCACAGGAATAGAAATGTAGACCATCCTCAATTTGCATGGTTCCATCTCCTTTATTTCAGCTTTACACTGAAGTGAAAGCAATACATGTTCTATGGAGACTCTATTTTGAAGTTTGAGGTGTTTTTGGTTTTGATTTTGGTTTTGGTTTTTTTGAGACAGAGTCTCACTGTGCAGTGCAGGCTGGCCTTGAACTCCCTTATATCACCAGGCTGGCCTCAAACTCACAGCAATCCTCCTGCCTTAGCTCCCTGAGTGCTGGAATTACAGGCATGTGCCACCACACCCAGCTTGAAGTTTGAGTTTTACCTTTTCCCTGGCTAGTGATTTGTGGTATAGTCCTGTCTCGAGGTGCTGGGCAGTGGTAGTGGCTGTAGTCCCCGGTCACCCACATGATCACAAGGACAAACCACTGGCACAGGTAGTCAATAAATTACACAAGCCACACAACACTTCATTATGAAGCACGTTGTGTGTTAGAGGATCCAGCCAAACCATAAGCTGAGAAGCATGCTAAGCATGTGTGCTTAAGGCAAGCTAAGCACAGCTATGATGTTCAGTAGGAGAAAGAGACAGAGGGAGAGAGAGTGAAAGAACAAAGTAAATGTACCAAAATGTATTCAGAGAATCTAGGTTAAAGGTATATGATAATTCTTTGTACTATTCTTACAACTTTTATAAGTTTGAATTTATTTCCAAATACAACTTTTTTTTCTAGTACTGGGCATTGAACTCCTGGCCTCACACATGCTAGACAAGCATTCTACCACTGAGCTACATCCCCAGCTCCAAATAAAATGTTTTGAAAAGCAGGAGGAAACTGAGGCCCAGGGAGGTCAAAGCCTTGCCCAGGTGTGCACAGATGTGCCATGAATTCCAGGCCACCTGGCTAGAGTCCACCCGGTTTACCATCTGGGTAAAGTGGCCTCAGAGCTCTCATGCCAGGGACCCTAACCCTCCAGCAGTGCCCCACTCTCCTGTCCTGCCCCAGCAGTGTCCACTGCCATGCCACCCTGACCACTTACGGCTGACCAGCACGCTGACGGGGTCAGAGCACGCGCGGCCCTGGGCATTCTGCACCTCGCAGAAGTAGAAGCCAGTGTCGGCCCTGGCGGCCGAGTGCAGCCGCAGGATGGGGGTGTGGGCGTTCTCCAGCAGGACCTGGTTCTTGTACCAGCTGTAGCGGAGCTCACTGGGTGCCTCCTTTGGTGTGTCGCAGGCCAGCGTTACCGTCTGGTTCTCCAGGATGGGGCCTGATGGACTCACCTTGACCTTGGCCACTGTGAGAGCAGCATAAGGCATGCTGGGAGGTTCCCCAGTGACTCTTAGGCCCAACCTCTTAGAATCCTGGGGTGCAGTTGTTCAGCTTCAATCTCTGCAGGTTCTACTTTACTGTCCTCACCTCCCATACGGAGCAGGCACTTAGAATCACCCTGCACTTCCCCATCTTGTCTAGCGGGGTCCACCTGACCTCCCACCTCCCAGAGAGCAGCTGACATCCATCTCACATGGAGGCAGAGCTGGGTCTCTACACCCACCCTGGCCAGACCCCTCCCTGCTCAGGCTCAATCCAGCTCCCCCAGGACTCACTGAAGACGTGGAGTCTGATGGGCGGCGAGACCAAAGAGCCCACTGTATTCCCGGCTTGGCAGGTGTAGACGCCAGAATCATTCCAGACTGCCTGGGACAACTGCAGCATGGGGCCACTGGCTTCGAGGTACACCCCGTCCTTGAGCCACTGCACGGAGCTAACAACGGGGTAGCTGCTGTTCACGTGACAGGTGAGTGTGACCAGGCTCCCTGGAAGGATGTTCCGGCCCGAGGGGCTGAGGAGGATCTCCACGCCCTTGGGGGCATCTGCAAGGCCCCATGGGGGTGTCAGGTGAGGTACAAGGGAGGACAGGGTGGGGGACACTTCTCCCTGCCTTTCAAAGCTCTGCTGTAAGGAAGGCCACCCAGGGAAAACATCAGACCCAAGCGGCCTGTGTCCAGCGCAGGTCCTGCCCCGCATCCTGCTTCCTTTCTTCTCCAACCCAACTCTCCTAACTGGTTGGTGCTTGCTTATGCTGCCTCCTGTGGCTTTCTGCTTCACAGTGCTGCCTGCTGCTCTGTCCTGGTCGGGGTGAATTGCATGGAGAGAGCACAGGCGCCACACTGCTTTAGTGGACTGTGGTCGCTGTTGAGAAGAGACCAGCCCCTTAATGGCAGGGGCGCGAAAGGCAGCATCAGATTAGCTCTCAGAAGAGGCGACTAGTTTGTAAGGAAGAGATTAGCAACAGCAAGAAACCGAGTCTATAACTCTTGCTCCAAGGCCTGTATGTAAACATGTGAATAAAAGCTCACATTTCCAAATGCCAAGCACCCTTCTAACTACCTTCTTTCATTTTCCTCCAATTCCATGAGAGAGGAACAGTAATTAACTCCACTCTACCGATGGGAAAACACAGCCCTGGGAAGCCAGGGACTTGCCCAGCATTTGCCCTTCTAGTGCATGGGGGCCAGCGGCCTACAGCCTGACACCTGTGAGCGGCCAGCCTTGCGGAACAGGTGGCAGTTTGACTGAGCCAGGAAGAAGCGTAACTAATGGAGGAGACTTGAGCTTTTTCCACTTATTCAGCCAGGGCCCTGATCACCATTACCACGAGCAATTTAAAACAGGAAAAGGGTATGCTGCTCTCCCCAGCATCCTCCAGAGAGGGGCTGAGGTCTAGGGCACTTGCCACCGACCCCCAAAGCTACTTGGAACTTCCTGTGTCTCCCTTTCTCTGCCCTGCTGGGCCTCACAGACAGGCCCTCTTGAACCCAGCAAAGGCGGAAGAGAGCCATTGCTCCTGGCTCTTCTGGTTTGGCCATCTCTCTCCACCTGCCCTGCCTGGAGGCCTGGGTGTGACCGGTTTGGCATCAGGGAGGAAACCGTTTCCAGGGGCTGCTTTTTTGTCAGACAGCCACAGATGTGGGCTTAGTAGCAAGGATGCCCCCTCCCTGGGCACTCACATTGCACGTGGAGGTAGACCTGGCCCTCGCTCCTACGGTCGGCCACCGAGAGCTGACACAGCAGGGTCCGACCGTGGTCCTGCCAGGACAGGGCTGTGTGGAGGGTCTCCGTGTGGCTGACGCCACCTGTGGGGTCAAGTTTCTGGATGTTGGAAGTGACAGAGCGAGTGGGGTCCTGGCCCTGCCACCGCAGGCTGACTGGCTTCCGCAGACACACATAGGGTATGGAGCAGTTGAAGGTCACCTCTGTGCCCTCGAGCAGCTCCTGGGGGGAGGCGATGGTGGGTGCACGGGGCTCCTCTGAGGACAAAGACAGGAGAACTCAGAACCCATACACACACCTGTGATCTCCTGCCCTGGCAACCCCAGGTGAGGGAGGAGCTCTGGTCCAGAGACCTCAGAAGGGATGCAAGGAGGAAGCAGTGTGGGTCTGGGGTGGAGCCAACACTGGCCAGGGTGAGATCAGGGCAAAGATGAGGCTGTGAGCTAGGGAGCCAGGCTGCAGCCAGGCCGCCCCATCCTTACCTGTCACAGTGACCGAGGTGCCTTTGATGTCCGACCAGCGGTTGCCCTCACTGATCTCAAAGCGGAAGTTGTAAGCACCAGCATCCTCCCGCTGCAGGTCATTCAGCAGCAAGCTGCATGTTTTGTGGTTCATGTCTCCCAGCAGCTGTGCACGGCCACGGAAGCGCGACTCCACCAGCTCGGGGCTGGCTGAGTGGCTCACCACCTGCCGACTGCCCGAGTAATCATAGTACCAGATGGCGGTGATGCTGCTGGTCACTGGCACATCAGCAGGGAAGCTGAAGGAGCAGGGGATGAGCAGGCAAGACCCTTTCACACCTTGCACGCCTTCAGGACTGGAGACGCCCCATGAGGGCTGGCCTGTGGGAGGAGTGGAGGAGCAAAGAGAAGGATGATATGGCCTGGGGACGCCACAGAGCCCTGCTGCCATCTGCTCCAGAAAGGTGCCCCAGATTGGCCCCCAAACCCTGCCGTGCCCCCACAAAGCCCCCTAGCACAGTCCTTCTTGGTTCCCCCAGATGGGGGCATCCCTGCCCCACAGCTGCTCAGAAGCTTGGCAGGGTGGCTCCAAGAGGGACTTTGGCCCTGCCTATCCCTTCCACTACCTCCCTGTGTCTTTCCTCAATCTCAGCAGCTAAGGGGCTGGGGATTTAGGTCAGCAGCACAGCGCCTGCCTGGCAAGCACAAGGTCATGAGTTCGATTCCCGGTACAGGAGAAAAACCAAAAAAAAAAAAAAAAATCTCAGCAGCCAGCCCTCACCAGGCATGGTCCAGTCTGCCAAGGCTGGACCTCCACTGGTAGGCCCCTGGGAGCCAGGTGCAGGCCACAGCTTACCTGAGGGAAGGACCGCAGTGAAGATGAGCAGCTGGAGCAGGAAGCCCATAACAGCGTCCGGGGCTGGTTCTGGTGCCTAAGAGGACAATGCTTGGGCTGGCTGGGCACACACGGGTCTCCTTGGGATACCTCAGGGCATTCAGCCCCAGAGCCCACTGAAAGTCCAGCCCTGTGTCCCACCTGCTGTGCTGGCCAACCCAGGGCGGGGACAGGTCTCCTTAGGACTTCCAGAGTGGCCCCCAGCAGGGAGCCCGGAGCCCACCTCCCAGGCTGGGGCTGTGCCTAGAAATGCCTTCGCTTGGTGGTGTGCCCCAGAAAGCCTTCTGTGTCCCTTGGCCCGACCCCAAGTTCTTCTTTCCCCGCCCCTCAGGAACACAGTCCCAGGGCCCATTATCAGCTGTTTTAACCTCCTCCTTCACTTCCTGGCCCCCTCCTTCCCACCCAAGCTGGAAGGAACTGGAGCCCAGAGACGCCCAGTGACTGACTCCAGGGCACCCAGTGACAAGGAGGGTTTCTCACTTGAAATTTTTTTCCTTATCATAAGGCTTACCAGGCCATTATGAGTTTTTCTGTTTTGTTTTTTTCTGTTTTGTTTTGTTTTTGTGGTACCAGGGATTGAACCCACAGCCTTCACACTAAACTGTATCCCCAGCCCATTTTCTTTTTGAGACGGGGTCTCACTAAGGCACTAAATATTTAGCCCAAGCTGAGCAACTGAGAGCTTCCTGCCTCAGCCTCTCAGAGTGCTGGGATTACAGGACTGTACCACCAGGCCTGTTCATTATAGAACTTGACTCCTTTTACCAAAGCGCTGCCTTTAAGAGTCACTCCTTTGTTTAAAAACTTTCTGTGGCTCCCCATTGCCTTTAAGAGGTAAAAGACTTCCATTTCTTGCCCCTGTCCTGTCTGCCCGCAGGCTCCTAGCTACCCAGCTGTGCCGTCTACACCACAAGTAATCTTTGTCTACAAAGATCGTATCCATACTTCAAGGTAAGCACAGATGGCACTTTCAGCTGGAACTTCCCCATCAGAGTCCTGGTAGTCACCTTAGAGCTACCTGTTTGCCTTGGCCTTGGCAGGACCTGGCACTACGGACATGCAGCCTCCAGCAGTACAGAGCTCCAGGCATACTCGGACTTGCTTGGTAGTGAGAAAGGGGTGTGGGCCCCTGAGGCCCTCTGGGGTTCAGAGTAGAAGCCGAGAGGTGGCAAGGCAAGTCTAGGCGTGCCAGGTAGCACAAGGGCCCTGCCCAGCACATACCCTTCATATTTAAGTTAAATGCCTACTGTATACCATGCACTGAAGGCAGGCCCTGGGCCATGCAGTGCCTCTGGTGGGACCCACAGGTATGAATTAGGGAGTGGGTAGCTCAGTGTGAAGGCCCTGGTTAAGTCCCCAGTACGGCAAAGGAAAGAAAAATTCAATATAACATCATGAAATGACCCAGCAATCCCACTCCCAGGCATATATGGACAAGTATAGAAAGCACAGACTCAGGCAGGCATTCGTTTGCCAGAGTTCATAGTAGCATTTTCACAATAGCCAAAAGGTGAAACAGCAGCAGTGTCCACATCAGAAGAATGGACCAGAAGATACTCTATGTATGTGCAGTGGAACAGTGATCAGTCTCAAGGGGAATGACATCCAGAAGCTGCTTATGACACAGGAACCTTAAAAGCATTATGGTTTTGCTTTGTAGTACTGGAGACTGAACCCAGGGTTTGCTCAGCTACATCCCCAGCCCTTTTATGCATTTTAAATTTTCAGACAGGATCTTGCTCAGTTGCCTAGACTGGCTTTGAACTTGCAGTCCTCCTGCCTCAGCATCCAAAATAGCCGAGATACGATACCCAGCTGAACACATCAGGTGTAATCAGTCAGACACAAAAGGGTGAATAGTATATAATTCCGCTTACATGAAACTTCTACAATATATAAATTCCTAGAGACAAGACGTAGAATAGAGGTTACTAGCAGCTGCGGGGAGGACAGAGTGGAGAGTTAGGGTTTAATGAGTACAGAGTCTCTGTGTGGCTGCTGAGCAAGTTCTGGAAAGAGACAGTGAGATGGTTACACAATATTGCGGATACACATATTGCTACCAAGAGCACATAAGACAGTTTAAGCGGGAAATCACATAAAATGCACATGGCACCATCTACACACACGTGCGCACAGCGAACTTTGCAAGCCTGCCTGGTGCCTGCTGACTCAGCAGACGATAGGAAGGCCTGGGAGGCTGGAAGTGGGGACAGGAAATGCATGACATCTCCCAGGCCCCAGCCCATCCGCCTCAGCTGACTGCTGGCTACCCTAGGGCACACCTGGGAAGGGGCAGAGACCAGGCATGGGTGGGACCGAAGTACTTTGATGCCTGAGCAGTGCTGAGCCTGGTACAGAAGGCAGAAGGGATGTCCTAGCAGGGAGTGGAGCAAGGGCACAGGCAGGACCGGAAGAACTCTGCTCGGCGGGCAACCAGGACCTGACCTCATCTGGGGGCAGTTCTAGGCCTGCTCTGTTCCTAGGGATCTGTACCCGCCCCCAGCTTGGCCCCAGTCTCTGGCCTCAGGGGGCAGCCCAGACCCACGCAGAAAGAAAAAGCAGGCACGAACGCAGAAAGAGAGCCTCTCCTGCCTGCATGAAACCTGGTGTGGAGGGGAAGGTGCCCCTGAGCTTGGGTTGGGGGCGGCTGGGCCTAGTGGGTGCGCACTGCCCCGTGGTGGTGATGATTCCAGTCCTGGGAAAGGAGTGAAGAATGAAGATACTTCAGGGCAGGGATCCCTGTGGTCCTCCCTCAAACAGTGACTCTTCGGAACAGCACTGTCCCCAAACAGAAGTTCCTGACATTCATTCTTGTGTTCCCAAATCTTGGGTGCTCCAATGACAGGGTTTTAATCTCCACTCTTGCAATTGGAATCGGGATGGGTTGGGATGGCCTGGTAGTCCAGGGAGGCCTGCGTTTGCTGCACGTGAGACCAATTGTCCCAGGATATCTGGGCAGGCTGAGGCCCCAAGTCCCTAGCCTCTGACCCTGAGACTGAATCCAGCCAGGCGGGATAGGGCAGAGGTCATTTCACTGTAGCCAGCTGTGTCTGGGTATAGAATTCAGTTTCTGTTTCCCGACACCAGGGCTTCTCCCCAACTTCCCTATCTGGCTGGAGAAGGAGGGACATGGGGACATGGGGTGATAGAGCCAGCTGGAGGGCTCTGACCGGAGACAGGAAGTCAGGGTATAGACAGGCCATTCCAGGAGTAGATTGTCTTCAAAATAGAGGAAAGCCCCAAAACGCAGGCCCAAAATTCATTCTGCAAGCCATAGAATCCATGAAGACTGTGCATGGCTTTGACCGGAACAGCAGAAAGCTCACATTTGGCTCCTTAGCGGGGCTCTGCATGGCCCTGGCCAGAGCACCCACTCCCTGAGCTGTGTGGGGCAGGATGGGGTCCTGTGCAGACAGGCACAGAGGTGAAGGACCAAGTGGAATGGGGTAGGTCAGAGCGAGGGCAGCCAATGGGCATGGCAGCATGGAGTTTGGGATGGAATTCAGGCTGGGATTGGGGTGGCCGGGAGACAGTGTGAGTGACAGCAGGAGTTGGCTGCGGGTGATGCTCAGGACAAGTGGAGGCCTGGCTGGGAGAAGGGGGTGGGGGTTGGGCAGTGCGGGGGACGGATCCACTGGGGTTGCATGGGGAAGGTGATTAGTAAGTGGTTGCCAATGCCATGTAGGTGAGGGGAGGCTGGGATCAGGGCTGTGGTTTAGGAGGATTTAGAGTGGTGGGGGGATTTGGGTTCAGAGTACAGCTTTGATTAGTGTTTCAGGCTTGAGTTTCTTTGGGGTCCAGCATTCACATCCATATGCCCTCCACAAGTCCCAGCCACATCCCCTCCATTCCCCCAGCCCCAGGCCCCGGGTCAGCAGTACCTGCTCGAGAAGGAAGTAGCCCCAGGAGCAGCTGGAGCTCCTGGAGCATGCAGCTGGCTCCTTGTCTCTGCACCGCAAGCGATGAGGATCAGGACTCAGCTCTGCTTCCTCTTTCCCAGTGCCTTCGTTCTCTGCCTAGCCCAGAGCTCCTGGGTCAGGGAGGCAGCTGCAGACTTGCACAACACCAACACAGGAAGGATCGATGCAGGCCAGCCTGGGACTCTTTAGAATGTGAGCAAGCAGAAGTGAGATGGGGGGGCAAAGCCTCCTCCCAGGCAAATGAAAAAGGGGATGAGGTACCCACTCACCAGCCATGTTCACCCCCTCTCTCTGGGCCACTGTGGCAGGAGACTGGGAGACTTCTGCTGATAGGGAACAAGTGGAGCCCAATGTTGGTGGGGGACATCAGGGTACCCAGACCAAAGCTGCCTTATTCTCCAGGTCCTCCCACAGGGCCTCTGTGTGCCTGACTGCTGCCTCTACAAACTTTCAAGAAGCAGGTCCTACTTGTAGGAATCCAGGGGCTCCAATATCCAGGACACTCCTCAGGCCAGGTAGAATGTCCCTTCCTCACTGTCCCTTATTCTAAAGGCAGAAGAGGAGAGTCCCCACACAGTGGAGATAATTACAGTTCTGGAGCTCATTTTTTTGAGGGGCTACTACATGTACTTGACACATTAGACAGATGTTAATTGTTCCAAACAACCCCAGATACAAGTGATAACACATTTTTAAAAATTTTTTCTGCAACTCAAATTCAACTCAACTCAGCCCCTGCCTGTCTTGGTGAGAACCTGAGATGGCAGATCAGGCCCCCGGGGCCCTGTGGGCCAGCCCATATGTGCAGATCTAAAGCGGGTAAAACCTTAAATCAGGGTGGATCCAGGATTCTGGTCACAGTGGCCCAAAGCACATGTCTGGCAACATCCTATCCTGACATCCTCAGGGCCCAAGAGATCAGCTTTCTATCACTCTGTCCTTCATTGTCACCCCTCTGGGCACTCTAAACTTGGGTCATTTTCTCTTCTGACCAAACCCAAGGGCTTTGCTCTCATTGCCTCCTTCCTCAGTGGCTCTATGACTGTGGGACGGTGACATACTGGTACCAAGCTTCCCTCTGCAGATACCTTCTCTCATACTGCTTCCCCACCCTACCCCTGCCTTTGAGTCTATCTTAGCCACATGACTCATCCTGGCCAGTGGATGTGAGTGGATGTGACATGAGCAAGGTTTCAAAATGTCCTCGTGCTACGTGAACATTTGCATCACCACTGTGCAAAGGGCAGACTCCAGCCAGCCCTCTGGTCCAAAGAGCGTGAAAGATGGGCACGTAGACAGCAGCCCTCTGGGCTGGAGTGGAGCCCAGCAGTGCCCAGCCTCCTCAGCCCCACGGAGCCTCTGTGGGCTCCTGGCGGGGTGCTTCAGGGAATCGTATGGCTGTTTGTTTAGCTACATTAGCCACCTGAAGCCTATCACAACCGCAACACACCTGTCTTAGTTGCTTTTTCTAGTTGTTAAGACAAAATATCTGACACCCAAAGTAAAAGGAGGAAAGGTTTATTTTGGCTCAGTTCTAAGAGATTTCAGTCTATAGTTGCTGGCTCCAAGGCAAGGTGAATGGCAGAGGGGATCGCAGGGGAAAAACAGTCCATGGCAGCCAGAAGGCAGCAGAAGCATCCAAACAGCAAGCAGCACGCGACAAGCGACAAGCCTCTTTCTGAGCCTTATGTCTTATCCAGGCTACTCACCCTCAGGGCAGGCAGCACTTGTCCCCTGAATCCTAGCATTACATCCTTCATCCCAGCATTATACACTCCAGATCCGGCCACCTCTGAAAGCCCCATCTGTGAGCACACAAGGCTGTGAGGGGGACATCCAGACACAACCCACGACATATCCAACTTGCTTACCCGCCTTAGGGTAGAAGAGCAAGACTGATCCTCACCCTGTCGGGGAGCACTACTTACCATCATTTCTGTGCGTCTACAGCCGCCTAAATAAAAATTACAAGATAATTTGCCAATAGGTAAAGACATGGAGCCTCCACACACTCTGCAGTGGGACCGTGACTCTCACTCCCGATACAAGAACCGGGCATGGGGATGCTAGGGAACTTGCCCAAGGCAAACATTTCTGGCTACAAAATAGATAAATAAATCAATTTGTTACAAGTACTAGGACCCAAACAGTGTAAACAAACTAGAAGTGTATAAAGGGGGAAGGGGACAAACAAAGAATTAAGATATGTCATGTAAATTCCCAGGTCTCCAAGAGGAGTGCCATTATTATGTAGTGCAAACATGACCGATAAAAATAATATAACAAGCATCACTCCCTTTCCCTAGTTGGTGTTGGTATCATGTATATGTAACCATACATGTATATGGACAGAGAGAGACTGAGACAGATTGAGAGAGTTTGTTTTGGTTTTTTAAGACAGGGCCTTGCTATATATTCCAGGCTGGCCTTGAACTCACTCTGTAGCCCAGGCTGACCTCAAACTCATTGTAACCCTCCTGCCTCAGCCTCCCAAGAGGCGAGATTACAAGCATATACCCACCATGCTTAGCTTTATTATCCAATATTGATATGGCAACTATATTAACCGGGACAAAGTACCTGGCACCCAGGACTTAACAGAGGAGAGGTTCCCTTCAGCTCACAGTTTCCGTCCTCAGTCAGCTTGCTCCAGGCACGAAGGGCGCAGTGGAAAAGCATGGCAGAGAAAAGCTGCTCATCTCATGGCAGCCAGGAAGCAGAGAGAGGAAAAGGTGGAGCCAGGGACTAGGATTCTCTTTTCCAGATCACACCCCCAGCCAACCACCTCCAACCAGCACTTTCAGTTACATGTGGGGTGCGGTAGCGCATGCCTGAAATCCCAGTACCTAGGAGGCTGATGCAGGGGGGTCACTGGGAGTTCGAGGCCAACCTGGGCTACATAGTGAGTTCAAGACCAGCTTGAACTACATAGCGAGACCCTGTCTCAAAAACAAAAAACTTTCATCTACTGAACTCATCTACGATTCACACACTGGTGAGTGTAACAGCCCCATGATCCAATCACCCTCCCAAAGCATGAGACTTTAGGGAGACATTTTAGATCTAAACCATAACAGCAACTCCACAATCTCTATCAAACTAGACCCTCCCCCGCTTAGTCAGCTGTCTTCAATAGACTGCTTGTACTCACGCTCCAAGATGGCTGCTTCAGCTCCGCCGTTATCCCCACTTTCCAGAAAGCAGCATGGAAGGAGGACGGATCATGGACCCTGCTTTATGATAATTCTTTAAATCACACCTTACATGTTTGCTTATATCTAATTAGCCAGAAGTTAGTCACAAGGTCTCATGTCTCTATTCTGATAGAGGATGTGCCCAGGTAAATTCTGAGGTGTCAGCGTGGGGAGCTGGGGTGAACAGGCTCTAGTTCAATCATTCATTCCTCAGCCCTCCGCAGGTTCCAGCCCAGGCCCTAGCCCAGGCCCTGCCGCCAGCTTGTCGGTGCCTCTGCAGTGCCTCCCGTCTCCCCCAGAGGGTGCCAGAGCCCTCTGCTTCTCTCACCCTCAGGCCTCAGGCCCTGCTGGTGCATCTGCAGTGTGGACAGCTCTGGCCACCGTGGTGCAAAGATCTGTACTCTGGTCAGCCTGCAGCCAAGTAGCTCTGTGGTTAAGAGCCTGGGACCCGTACAGAGCTGGGTTCAAATCCAGACACATCACTCACCCACCATGTGGCCATGGAGTAGCTGCCCTACCATCCAGAACCCACAGTCCTCCAGAAAGCTGGTGAGAAGCGCTTCCCAGGGCCTGGACTGTGGGAAGAGCCGTGAATGCTGCCTCCGCTGTGGTTCTGTCCTCTCCCCACCTACCCAAAGTGACCCCCACTCATTCAGTCACCTCAGCCTGTCCCCGTCCCCCTGGCTCTGCTGCCCGCTCATGCAGAGGCCCTCACCGCTCTGTCCCTGCGTGAGAGGGAGACTGAGGGCCATCTCCTCCCTGACAGCCTCAGGCCCAGTGGGAAGCCCTCCCAGGACAGGCTTGCACGCAGCGGTTCTCAGAGAAGAGGAGGCCTCAAGTTCACTGCTCTTGTCCTTCTCCTCCTGGGGGCGGGTGCTGGCACCCTCTGTGCAGAGCTGCATGGAGGCAGGAACATCTGCACCTCCCCACACAGGGCTGGGGTGCAGAGCCGTTCTCGAGGCCAGAAATTCTATCCCCAGCACCGCAAAGACACAGCGAACAAAACCCACCAGCTTCTGGTTCTGGGTGGTGGTGGCGACCAAGTCTCCAGCACTCCTGACCGCTCCAGTCCCACTGCAAGTGCAGTAAGGAGAGGGCAAAGGAAATCAATCCATAGTGGCCCCTCTGGAACAGGACGGCTCGGGTGGGGATCGGGGGCCCCACTGTGCACGAATCCTGATTCACTTCTAGAAGAACAGCAGATGGAGGCTTGCAGGGAGGGGCAAATGGGGACCCAGGAGATCAGAGCCAAAGCAGGGTGAGGCTCTCTGGGGCGGTCAGCACACCCCAAAGGACTGCAGTCAGCACAGGGCCCTCTCCACCCACCGCGTGTGCTGCTGGGGCAAGGGAGCGCCCCATACAAATGCCTGGGGCAGCCCGCTCTGCCCTGGGTTCAAAAAGATGATGCCATCACCAGGGAATTACCAGATAGTTGAGGAAAAGCAACATGAAGAGGATTGAGAAATGAATAAACTGGGCATGACGGTACACACCTGTACTTTCAGCACTTTGAGAGGCTGAAGCAGGAGGATCAAAAGTTCCAGCACAGCCTGAGCAACTCAGTGAGACCCTGTCTCAAAATATGGTGTAACCCAGTGTGAAGGCGTTGAGTTTGATTCCTAGTGCTGAAAAACAAGAATAGCAAAGCCGACTGAGGACACAGCTGTGGGCAGTAGTGCCGGGCATTTGCCACTTATACTCCACAGCCCTCAAGCTAGGTGCCACAGTTATCTTCACTTACAGGAAACTGAGTCACAAGGAGGCAGAGTAACCTGAGTTGGGGCAGAGATGGACTTTGACTGCAGGCAGCCCATTTCCTGTGCTGGGCTCTGAACCCCTCTACGCTGACTTTAATAAACCAAACAAAAGGTGAAAAAACTGATCCAAGAGGAAACAATTCAAGGAACAGGGAGAATTTATAAAAAAAAACTCTTAAGAGTATTTCATTCATAAAACAGAGACAGCTATGA